GGAAAAGGTGCCAGCCCCAGGACATGGAAGCAGAGAATGGGGGCATGGAGGAGAAGGCGTTTCTCACCCAGAGACAGAGCCTGGGCCGGGCCACCCACAATGTCCCACCAGGCCAAGGGGGCGCAGGCAAGAGAAGGGGCCCAGACGGGGTGCGGGCTGGGCAGCTGTGTGCCTCCATCCTGCCCCGCCACCCCCCGAGGACTCTAGGGTTCTCTGAGAAGTTGCCAGCCTCCAATGTTTTAACTCTCGCTCTCCTCTTTCATGGGGAAAGTGCAGATTAGATTAATTAATGTGTTGTTGTTTGTTTACCCTCCTTTCATTTTGCTGAGACAAAATAATTAACCACAGAGCTTTAGAAATCGGCTCCATTGGTGGCAATCCCTTTTGTGTCAACTGCGTCAGCAGCTTCTGTGTGTAGATGCAGGGACTGCAGGCAGGAGCAGGGCAGGCAGGCAGCACCTGGAGGCTCCTGTCCAGGGCCCTACAGGAGAGGAGGCAGATGAGGTGCTCTGGACAAGGGGACCCAGGATAGCCACGAAGGGCTAAGATGGCCAGCAGGAAGGGCTGGGATGCTCGGATCTGCCACATCCTAGAGGACTGTCATGGTGCCACCACTGCCTATTGGTCCCCTGGGCTAACAGCCACCTCAAACCCATCGATGCCTGAGTAGGGACCAAAAACATTCCTATGACCAGCCTAGGGGAGGCAGAAAGATCAGGCCTGGCCACCTACTGCCACTGCAGGCAGGGCTGGGGAGTGAACTTGCCCAGAAGGGTTTCTGGGGCCACAGCAGGAGTGAGGAGGACACAGGGCAGCTGAAGCGGGACCCCCAGTAGCCCTGTCTCAGCTAATAGCAGATCCCAACCCTGATCGGCCAGTGGTGGGGACGAGCCACACAGGAGAACAGAAGGTTTGGGAATTTCTCTCAGGAGGCCTCTTATGAAGTGAGACGTCTGACCTATACGGAGCTATGGCCACCCTGTGGAACACGGACCAGTTCTGCTTGGAGGGCAGCAAGATGTGAACAGAACAGACTCTCTCCTCCCAAATCCTTTCTCCAGAATTGTCTTCATAGCCAGGGCTCAGCCAAGCCTGACTCCTGACGCGGATTGACAGTGCTCCTCCAGGGTAGACAACCCCACCCACTCCACCTTCCCAGCCTCTCACCCTTGAGGCAGCAGGGCCTGTTCATTCCTCACTCAGGCGTTTTTTTCATTTGTTCTCTCCCTCCACGAAGACGCGGGGCCGTGCCCTGGGCTCAGCCATGCAACAGACATGGGTCCTGATGGAGTTCTCGGCTCTTTGGTGGGACCCGGATACTGACCAGCTCCAGTTCCTGGCAGGATGACAGCACAATGTGGAGAGGGTTTGAAAGGTCACAGGCAGCCTTGAGTGGGTCAAGGAATCCCCCCCACCTCCCAGGAGGTGGCATCTCAGCTGGGCCCTGAAGGGTAAGGGGCTGATAGACAAGGCAGGAGAGGAATTTCAGGCAGAGAGCCCAGCAGGTGCAAAGGCCTGGAGGTCACACAGCAGTGCGCACCTGGAGGTCACACAGCAGTGCACACCTGAGGTGCTGGAGGCCCTTCCTGCTGGAGAAGCCCAGAGTGGGGGCTGGGCGAGGAAAGAGGATGGTGGGGGCAGGAGCACAAAGGGCCCCTAGACAGAGACTGGGAGACTGGATTTTGTCCCCCAAGACAATGGGACCCCCAAAGGGAGGCTACCACTAGATTGTTTAGGAAGCTCGTTCTGACCACCGTTCAGACTGTGGGTTTAGGGCTTGTGGCTTGAGACTGAGACAGGAGGACAGTGGAGGGAGGCGGGGGCAGGTGCTCAGGTGAAAATGGTATTGGCTGGGCTGGTGACCTCAGACCACAGAGATGAGGGGGAAAGTGCAAAGGGAGACTTGAGAGGGGGCCTGCCCTGTGATGTTGGGACCCCTACCATCAGCACCTTGGTGCAGATCACAGGGTCTGCTGGCAGCTGGGGAGGCTTGGGAGACCCCATCTCACCTTCCCTCCCCCCGAGGACAGGACCTGCAGCTCTTCTTCTGGACCCAGTTGGTCCAGGCAGCTCTGTCCTCTCCTGTAGCTCTCACTCTGGCCAGTCTGAAGCCAGCGGCTCCACACAGTGACGTGTGCCTGTACGTGTACCCACCGTGTGCCGAGAGCGGCCCAACCCATCAGCCTGTGTGGGAGAGCAAGTGGGCTGTTGCCCCGACTCCAGGTTAAATTCAAATGGAATTGCTGGAATTTTAAAGAAAGAACAAATGAGTACGTCAGATGGCAGGCGTGGGAGGACTCTGGACAGCCGCCAGCCTCTCTGAGCACTGGGCCACAGAGGTAACACAGCTCTGCTGTGGGGTTAAAGGAGATTGAGTGCACTGAGGGTCAGCACACTTGCAGCAAGTCCTCCAATTTCAGCCACTGTCATTATAAAATTGGTCTCAAGGCCCCAGCCCAGTGGCCTGGCCTGAGTTCACAGGGTCCCCGAAGCAGCTGACCCCAGAGTCAAGGCGATCGGGGTTGGGACACCCCCCACCCAGGGCCTGGCCTTCAGAGACAGGACTTGGGCTGGGTGTGAGGGAGGTGGTGAAGGCACTGGCTGGGTCTGGGGCTCCCCAGCAGGACGTCGGGGAGATGGGGACACTGTGGACAGCCCTCTGGCCTCACCAACCACCATCCTTGACAGTGAGCTTCATTGCTCACACCGGAGTGAGGGGCCCTGCCCCAAGCAGGATTAGAGCACCCGGCAAAGCCGTAAGGTCCCGCTGCTCCCAGGCAGAGGTTGTGTGTGTTTCCCAGATTTAACTAAGGCCCAGCACAGATCTGTCTGCGAAAGAGCCGTTTCCTATGGCTCCTTGTCGGGCTCCTGCTTGGATGGCTGTGGTCTGAGTAGATATACCTGCTTCTCCAAACTATAACTTTCCAGTGTTTGCTTCAAAGTGATTTCCCCTGAAGAAATAAAATCTTCGTGAAACGTGCCTTCTCCAGAACCAGACAGCCATCTAAGCCACACAGCTTAGGTTCATCGGTAGACTTTAAGCTCTGGTCCAGGGTGAGCACCCTGCCCCCACCATGTCAGCCCTGGATATGGTGGCCTCGGAAGTGCGCTTTGGGGACTGACGTGCATCACGGAAACTCCCCCCTCACACGGTGGGGCCTGGAGGCAGTGAAGACCGACCTCCATTCCCTCCCCCGTTTCCTGAGCTCCTGCTGGTGCAGCCCAGGACCCACGGCACCCTCAGTGCAGCCCCTTCTTTCAAGAAGCCCCTGGTCTGCTAGGGAGGTGGTTGTGTCCCACAAGCATTTATGATCTAGAACTGCAGAGACCAGGCCACGCACAAGGGGGACAGGAGCCCCCAGTGGGGGGCCTAAGCCACATGGCAAGAGGAGGTAAAAGGGCCTCTCTGAGGAGGAGATTTCTAAGCTAAGTCTTAGAAGAAAAGGGGTGAGCTAGGCAAGGGGCAGGTGGGGGAAATAGCAGGGCATGGACAGGAATCCCCAGCCCAGTGAGTGGGAGGTGAGCACAAAGGGAGATGGGGCTGCAGACACAGGCAGGCCCCACTAGGAGACGGGACTCCCAATAAGGGCCAAGTGAGGCCTCAGTGGGGTTGAGGTGTCTGCGACACTGTCAGATTAGACAGGGAGACTCTCCAGCCATCGCGTGGAGGATGGCCTCATGGAGAGGAGGCCAAGAAATTGAGTGAAGTGCAGGGGCTCCAGGGGGGCTTGGGTGGGTAGGAGGGATGACGGGACGTGGGGACTGAAGGAAAGCATAGTCCAGATGACACCCAGGTCCCGCCCAGGATGACCAGGGAGGCAGGAGGAAGAGAGAGTGTGGGGCCAGGGTGGATGGCAAGATGGACACAGACTCCTCATGGTGCCAGGGCAGGAGTTGGGCTGGGTCAGTGAGACAGCAGGAAATGAATCCCCCAGCTGATGTGGTAATGAAAACTCTGGGTTATGCTTATACAAGCTTCACCACAGAATGATCACCCGTGGGTCCCTGGAGGCTGGGTAAACACTCCACACTCTTGTCTTTATTGATTCTACATTCAGCTCAATAAATGCACCTGGCAGCCTCTCCCAGGCGGGGCCCTGGGGCCTGCTCTGAGATCCACTGTTGTTCCCACACAGGCTGGGACGGGGACCTGGGGTGGACTCATTCTGGCAGCTGTGGGCCTCAGCTGGGCCCGGGGGCTTCATCTCAACGGCTTAGGGGAGAAGCTTGGGCCAGACCCTCGAAGCCCCAGGGAGCTTCTCCAAAAGTCACAGAGATGTTCCAAGTCCCTGTAACTGGCTAACTCTGCTCATTCTGGAAGTTGGTAAGGGCCAGGTTGTGCCTGGATCCTCATCAGGCAGGGATTTCTGCCCCGGGGATGGGAGTGAGGGGTCAGCAGGGGTGGGACCGCAGAGGTGGTCTGATGCTGCAGGTTGGGGCACAGCAAGAGCATCGTTGTTGGAGGGTCTTCCTCTTGGGGGTCCTGCCAGCCACAGTGCCCTCTACCCCAGGACTCTCCGGCCCCTTTTCTTTGCAGTTTGCTCCCCCTCTGTTCTGATCTGGCGGGCTGCTATGTTGGCAGCTCCTCTGACTCAGGCTCACCCCTCACCCGTTCTAAACACACCACTGGCTTCTAATGGGCTTCTGGCTGCTCCAGGCCAGTGTCAGGCCCAGGCATCCTCTGGGATCCCCAGCCTGCCTCCTGAGTGCCCACAAAGCTGTGCTCCTCTGAAATTCTGGGCCAGTTTTCAAGCAATTAGGTTACAAGGTCAAGATGGTCAGCTAGAGGCAGTCATGCCACCAAGCTGTTTACCCCAAGAGAACCAAACACATACAGCAAACAGGGTGTGCCGGCACCCCTGTGTGAGCCTGCCAGCTCTGGCCTGGTCCTTGGAACAGTCCTGCTCATGAGCAGGAGCAGAGTTAGCAGGAACAATGGCCCCAGCATTCGACCTGCTCCTCTTAAAGATGAATAAAGCCCCTCCCTTTCTGTCTTGCAGGTTCTGGCGCAGGCCTGGGTGGCCCAGCATGGCCCGCTGAGGTGAACCATGACTGGCTGGCCAACACTCGCCGCTGACCATCCAGAGTCACTCCTCACCAGGAGGTGACCCCTCCCTCAGCTGTCCTCCCACTCGCCCACCCCATCCAGGAAAGTGCCCACGCCGCCACAGACACCATGTAGTAGGGCCGGCCACGGCACCCAGTGAGCTGCAATGGTTTTGTACACGACCCCCTTTCCTAATAGCTGTCTGTCCGCCCTGCACGCCGTGTCCTGGGCCCTCATCTTCCCATGCTACTGGCTGGTGGACCGGCTCGTGGCCCCTTTCATACCCACCACCTACGAGACGCGCCAGCGGGCAGACGACTGCTGCTGCCTCCAGCTGCTTTGCTCCTATCTCTTCACGCCTGTCTACCTGGCCCTCTTGGTCGCCTCGCTGCCCTTCGCGTTTCTTGGGTTCCTCTTCTGGTCCCCCCTGCAATCTGCCCGCCGGCCCTATATCTATTCCCGACTGGAGGACAAGGGCCCAGCTGGTGGGGCAGCCCTGCTCAGCGAATGGAAGGGGACAGGTCCTGGCAAAAGCTTCTGCTTCGCCACTGCCAACCTCTGCCTCCTCCCTGAATCGCTGGCCAGGCTCAACAACGTTTTTAACACCCAAGCACGGGCCAAAGAGATCGGGCAGAGAATCCGCAACGGGGCCAACCGGCCCCAGATCAAAATCTACATTGATTCCCCCACCAACACGTCCATCAGTGCAGCCAGCTTCAGCAGCCTGGTGTCACCACAGGGCAGTGATGGCGTGGCCCGGGCCGTCCCTGGAAGCATTAAGAGGACGGCCTCTGTGGAATACAAGGGCGACAGCGGGCGTCACCACAGTGAAGAGGCTGCCAACGGCCTGGCCTCCGGGGACCCGGCCGACAGCGGCAGCCTTGAGGATGCCTGCATCGTGCGCATCGGTGGTGATGAGGGGAGCCGGCCCCCCGAAGCTGATGACCTTGCCACTGGGGGCCAGGCCAGGAACGAGGCTGGCAGGGGCTCACGAGGCCAGACACCCAACCACAGTCAGCGGGATGGGGACTCGGGAAGCCTGGGCAGCCACTCGGCCTCCAGGGAGTCCCTGGTGAAGGCGCGAGCCGGGGCGGACAGCAGCAGCGGGGAGCCGGGCGCCACCAACAGCAAGCTCCCGTACAAGGCCTCGGTGGTGAAGAAGGCGGCCGCGCGCAAGAGGCGGCACCCGGATGAGGCCTTTGACCACGAGATCTCGGCCTTCTTCCCGGCCAACCTGGACTTCCTGTGCCTGCAGGAGGTGTTTGACAAGCGGGCGGCCGCCAAGTTGAAAGACCAGCTGCACGGCTACTTCGAGTACATCCTGTACGATGTCGGGGTCTATGGCTGCCAAGGCTGCTGCACCTTCAAGTTTCTCAACAGCGGCCTCTTCTTTGCCAGCCGCTACCCCATCATGGATGTGGCCTATCACTGTTACCCCAACGGGCGGTGCTCCGACGGCCTGGCCTCCAAGGGAGCGCTGTTTCTCAAGGTAGGATGCCTCGCCCTGCCTGAGGGACATGCCAGCTGGTCCCAGAGCCACGGCGGGAGGTGGGCCATGGGCTGCAGGTGGGGGTCCTCATTCTCTTGGAGGGCTGGGGGAAGACGAGGTCTTTCATGGAGCTGAACCAGAGGGCTCCCAGCTCAGGGACAAGGGAAATAAAAATGCAGGGACATGAGCCGATGCTCCGCGCTCCGACAGACCTGGCCGGGTGCTCTTGGGCAAGTTCCTCAGATCTCTGAGCTACCATTTCCTCATCCGTAAAGTGGGGGCAACCAGAGCCTGCTCCCAGGGTGGGGAGTGGAGCATGAGGGTGAGGCCTGGGAGGCTCTCCTGGTGCTGGTGTGAGGTGGCCAGGCGATGATGGCATGGCAGTGATAAAGGGGGAGGAGGAGGCAGGGAGCCCCCTCTCTGTACAGGAGCAGACATTCACAGGAGGGGAGACCAGCACAGACCACTGGTTGCGGACGGGCAGGCGGGGCTCTCAGGTCCCAGGCCCATTACCACGCCTGCTTGCTTAGGCCACCAGCCTCACTGGCCAGAACAGCCTCTCCCTCCTGGCTGTCACGCATCTGCCATGCCAGGCACTCTGCCCGTCAGCCCGAGGCTTTGCTTCCATAGTCACTAATTAAAGGGAATCATAATTATTTCTGCTAATTTGGAGGCAATTGGAGGAGTTTTTAGACCATGGTAATTTGGTCACTACGCATTATCTTCTACCGAGCCTGACACGCTCAGAGTGTCGACTTTTTGTTTCCTATCCAAAAGCCGCTCTTGGGGCTTCCAGAGTTTTCTGAAGCACCGTTTGGCCAGCTGATACAGAACAGGGCTTTCTGCCCCCAGAGGCAGCAGCTGCTGTGGGTGTGGGTTCTCTCCATATTTTCCTCAAGACTTCTCAGTTCCCCCTGGGGGTCCAGGTGTAGGTGGGCAGGAGGCAAGGGTGCCTAGTGTGGCTAATGCAGAAGCCACAGCGTGGCAAGGCTCTCAGACCCCAGGCCTCAGCTTTGACGGTGCCCAGCCTGTCCAGGAAAGTGCTGTGTGTCAGCCAAGTGCCTGCCGGGAGTGAGGGCCCAGGCTGATTGTCTGCACAGAGCCTGCTGGAGCCAGGGCGGCACCCCAAGGCCTGGGCCCTCACTCCAGGTGCTCAATGGCTCTTGTGTGGCTCAGCGTGCCCAGAGCTGGGGTCCCCGGCTCTCCATTCACAGCCTGAAATGGTGAAATTGAATGCACTCCTCTTACGGGAAAGCCAACTTCCCCATTTTGGCATATGGTTCATCAACGTTCTGTTCCACAGACGTATTTTTGTCTGAGCAGCCTGAGTGACTTTCTGGGGAAGGAAGGGACATGTTACCAGGCTGGGCAGGGGATGGTTAGACCCACTCCCTCCCTCCCGCCACACTACAGATGGCTCAGAGGCCAGGGGCCCTCTCGACTCCGCTCCCAGTCCACACATCCTCTCCTCATCTCCCTCCTTGATCTGGCACCGTGGCCACCATGCCCACCAGGGTCACAACAGTCTTCTTGGGACAGCCCCTCTGCTGCAGGCTTTCCTCCCACCTCTCTGGTTGTTGCTTCTGTGCTCCTTGTTACCTATCCGTCATTTGAATGCCGATGTCCCTCTAACTTCTGGGTCTAAAACTGGTCTGCAGGCATGTTTAGTTTGGTCCACACCATTAAAAAATTTCTTGTGTTGGCCAACATTTAAAAATCAAGATATTTCACATAAAACCCAGTTTGCAACTTCTCGCCCCATCTTGGCAGATCTGGCAGCAGCAGGCCTGCTGCACTCTGCCCAGCTCTCAGCCCGAGCTGAGGGTAGGTGGCACCCCCAGCAGGGTGACCCCACTTGGCCAGCCTTCTTCATTTCCAAGTGGTCACCATGGCTGGCCCCACACACCTGCCCCTGGGAAGTGACTCCACAGTCTCCATTTCCACACTTGCTGGGGACTCTCAGGTTTGTCCCAGCCTGGATCTCTCCCCTGAGCCCCCAGCTCTGTGTCTGGCTGCTTCTTGGACATAGTCCCATTCCCTCCCAAAACAAATTCATTATCTGCCCTGGTCCCACCAATCCCTCAGGTTCCACCATCCCTCAGCCAGAAGGGCCCACCTTGACTCCTCTCTGTGCCCTGAGCCCATCCAATCCATCCAGGCCCCTAATTTCACTTTGCAGATGCTCTGGGTCCACCCTACGTCTCTGGCAGCACCATCATGGCCCAGGCCATCATTCCTCCATATCCGCCCACCTGTATTTTGGCTGGCCTTTCCCTTCCAACCCCTCCTCCCCCCATCTCAGGTCTGACTCCTGTCACCCCCTTCCTACTGCCCAGGGGAGAAGCCCAGCCTTCACCTGGGCCCTTCCACCCTCACCTGGGCTCTGCTCCAGCTGTACCACACCCCCAAGGGGCCCAGCTCCCTCTTGTCTTGGTCCCACCCCGAGCTGACCACACCACCTCTGTGGAGCTTTCCTCAGCAGCCATCCAGCACAAGCCAGCTTTCCCTTCGTGGGTTCCTCAGCCGTTGTCCCTGGGTGTCTTGCTGCCGGTCTCTCCTCTCAGAACTCGAGAGCAGAGCCGTTTGTGCCCGCTCTCAGCACACAGCAGACCCAGCTCGTCTCAGTTGACGGGAGCATGCCTGTTTCTCCAGCATGGAGGAGTGAAACAAATGAGGTTTCGGGAGACAGGCCAGCCCAGGAAGGGGCCCGGGGGCTGGAAAGCTGCTGCCCCCAGCTGTGCGTGGAAGCCTGTGCTCGCTTCATCCGCAGGGCTCCCCTGTCCAGTCCTGCCCTTCCAGTTTACTCTGTGGCACTTCCAATCCTCGAGGAAAGTGTGCTTTCCTGCTCTGTGATGCCCTGAGAAGGGCCTGGAATCACTTTTGCCTCACGTATGAGAGAGCCTGATTCTGGGCCCCTTCTCTATTGACAGTCTTTGCCCACCAGGACTAAAAGGCACAAACTCTCAGTGTGATTGATTGTTTTTGCAAGAGAAACAGAAGCCTCTGCGGCTCCTGAGGACTCGAGCCAGGAATCAGTAAGTCCCAACACATAATAAAGTGGATCCTGGCGAGCTCCCCAGCCGACTGAGAGCAGGGAAGCGGGGTGAGGGGTTGAGGTACTGGTGGAAGGGGGGTGAGGGAGAGGCAGGGGGGCCTTGTGCCGTGGGTCTTACCTCTGGGCGGGCTCTCCTCAGCAGTGGGGCCAAGGGGTGCTTCTCTGCACCTGTCTCCTGTCCCTGGCCAGGACTCAGCACAGGCAGGTGACTCTGAGTGCTGAGTGAGTGAAGGGCTAGCACACTGAAACAAACCATCAAAGGGGCGGCCGGTGACAAGCCTGGTTAAGTCACAGGAGCTCAGAGAGCAGCAGAGAGTATGGTGAGGAGCCCACTGTGGGGCAGCAAACATCTGATTTGAACCAGCCTCGGCTATCGGAGCCTTGTGACCCCAGCCAACCATCGTATAACTTGAGCATAGTCCTGAGTTGTCCTCAGGCTTGAGCAAGCCAGTGTCCGTGAAGCACTAGGCGGAGTGCTCACAGGTGAACATTATCATCACTGAGGAGGGAACAGACACTGCCTGAGGAATACAGGAGGCGAGAGCGCCATCGTGTGGCCTTTGGGGGCATTGTGGTTTTAAAACTGTGTTGTGTTTTTGCAACAGGGCATTGACGGTCTGTGATTTCCTGAGCCATTCCAGGAGCGGGGGGTACCATTAGGCTGAGGTTTGGGTCTGGAATTTGGGCAAGAAGTGAATGGTGAACATGTGAGTTCATAAACAGCCCCAAATCCAGGCTGTATAGCCCATTATCAAGTAACTAGACATTCATCCCCCCAGGCGCTGGGAAAGGAAAGATGTGCATCCATCCAGGCTGGGAAAGGGGAGGAAGAGCCGTAGAAAGCTAAGGGTGTTTGATGGTGTGCAAGTCCCTTTGGAGGAGAATAATGCCAACCGGACTTCAGCAGCAAAAAGAAGATGGAAGCCTCCCGAGGCTCTCAGAGCGGAGGGTCCATGACGTGGTGGCAGTGAGTCCAGGCCACTCTTAGCTGGAGGATGGGCAGGGTTGTGCTCAGCAGGTGCCAGGTGCACCCACCCTGTTGCTGCAGGCCCCTCAGCCAAGAACCAGCCTCTACAGTCTCTTTCCCTAGAGAGTTCCCAGGTCTCATCATCATAGAAAACCCAGTCTGGAATGGATTAGTGAAGCCTGGGGAAGATGGCTGAGGCTCAGGTGTTAGGAGAGCCCAGAGAGGAAGAGGGTGAGGAGCCAACCAGAGGCCTCTGGGAAAAGACACCCATGGAAGGTTGCAGAGAGCATGCCCAGGAAGACTCGCCCGTCTTGGCCTCCAGCAGCTGTGCCATGGCCAGAGGGCCTGAGAGAGCCGGCAGGCTGGGTGGCCATCCCTTAACTCCCCAGCCACAGCCCTGACAAGGGCTCAGGCTTGCATCAGGGTCACCACTGGGGGCTGTTTCGAGTTGCCTGTGATGTACACTTGAGATGCTTGTTTTCATTATGCCAACCTGTGGAGACAGACTGCCAGGGTCATCTGTGGTTGGGCAGGGAGCTGGGGAGGAGGCCCCTGCCCCACTCCACCCCGCAGAGATTCCATCTCCAGTGAAGGAGGTCAGCAGGGAGGTGAGGACTGAGGTCTGGGGAGAGTGGGGCATGAGGGCATGAAGAGGCCGCTGTGCAGGAAGGAGGACTGGGCTCAAGATGGAGGCCGTGAGGTACCTGGGGCCAGTCCATGGCACAGGTGCCATGGAGACACAGGCCACAGCTGTCATCCCAGATCAGGGGACTAACAGGGACCACAGCCAAAAAGCAGATGAAATGATTTCTCATGAAGCCAGAGGGGGAGAGAGCGAGCAGAGGGCGGTGTCCGAGGCCTCTTACAGTGGAGGGAGGATGGCTAGCTTTGCGTCTGGGCCGCCTCCCAGAGGGGAGCCCAACTTAGACTTCAGAGGGATGGTCTCCAGAGCGTGATCAGGTCTAGGCTGTGACCGAGGGAAGGAGGAAAGAGCCACCAGACAGGACAAGGAACTGAGGGGCTGGCAGGTGAAGGTCATCCATGTGGACACTCTGGTCACCAGGAGACAGCAAGGGTTTGGGGGGAAAATCTTCAGGGATTTTTGCATTTTTCCTCCTGAAAGCCTTGCGTGAATTGCTGCTGGCACTCACCAAGCCATGGGCTGGTATTTCTTTATGCATCTGCCTCCCACACTGGGCCAGAAGTTCCTAGAAGCAGGACATGTGCTGTTTCTACCTGGGCCCAGGTCTAGCAAGGAGCCAACAGAGCTAAGCTTGTGAGGGTTTGACCTGGGGAGGGCGGGGGACTCACCAGGGTCCCCTGGTGCTCAGAGCAATGATGACTCGTGGGCTCCGGCACTGACCCCTCGCCTCCTCCCCACAGGTGCAGGTGGGAAGCACACCTCAGGACCAAAGAATTGTTGGGTACATCTCTTGCACACACCTGCACGCCCTGCCAGGTAGGGTCCGGTGGCCCGCGCTTTTCGGGAGCTGGGGAATCTGCCCAGAGGGCTGGGATCAGCACCAGGGTCTGGCTGGGGTCTGGCTGCAGCTTCGTCATCTGGTCTCTGTGGTTCTGCCCCAAAGAGGACAGTGCCATCCGGTGTGAACAGCTGGACCTGCTTCAGGACTGGCTGGCTGATTTCCGAAAATCTACCTCCTCGTCCAGCGCAGCCAACCCCGAGGAGCTGGTGGTGTTTGACGTCATCTGTGGAGATTTTAACTTTGACAACTGCTCCTCTGGTGAGGCTGTCGTCCTCCCCATTCGGGTTGGCTACTGGGGAAGGTGTGGGTTCCAGTCACAGCTAGAAAGACGTGGGTCAGGCAGCTAGAAGAACTTCCTGCTCCTCGTGAACATGAGTGGGATGTTAGCAAGACTACGATTTTTCTGGCCCCTAGAAATCCTAGAATGAGAAGATCTCACACTCTGCCTAGAAAGCTCAGAGGCCTCCTTGCTGGAGACAAAGAGATGCCCTAAAAACAAACTTATGAAGGAAAGGCTTGGGGCCTGTGAAATTCAGACTGAGGGCAAGTCAGCTAATAATATTCACCACGTCTTCATTCAGCTGTTACTTTGTACCAGGCACAATTCTGACCACTGTTCATGGGCATAGTGTTTCATTTAAGTCTTGTAACAACCCTAACAGTGGGCACTGTATTTTACCCACATAGTGTGGAAGAGAAAGCTAAGACCCAGAGAGGTTGAGTAACTAGTCCAAGGTCACACAGTCAAGAACTGGTTGAACTGGGATTTAAACCCTGGAAATCATGCTTTAAGCCATTAGGCTAAAAGACTAAAAGTTCATCATGGGTGAAATTTCAAATAATTAATTTAAATAATTGATCTGTGAATCAGATGATCATGCTGATCCTAGGGACCTCCCGGCAGTTGGAGCAGCTTGGAGCCTCCTTTGGCCCAAGGAGCTGGGTTTAAGGAAAACCTCCCTGCCTATGGGCTTCTAGGCTCCTTCCCCTCTGGCCACAGCCCCAGGAGAAATTGAGGATGGGTGGGCAACATGGAGTCTAGTCCTCAGTGAAAGCAGAAAAACTGAAGGTCCACTTGGAACACAGGGTGGTACACTCACCTGGTGGCAGCTGTTTCTATCTGTTCATGACCAGGGAGGCCTCTCTTGACAATAGTGGCAACTCCAGGGTGGCGGGGAGACCAGTGCTCACCATGGAACACACAGCACCCCCACTGCAGCCCGGGGGTCCCCTCACAGTCATGAGCTTCATGCCAGCTCCAAATGCTCGGTGGTCCCAGGATCTTCCTAAGTTAGCGTGGGGACCCAGCATACACAGGAAGAGGCTGTTGGGAGGGGGTCCCACCCCACCAGGCCCCACTCAGTGCCCTGTCCTTCCACCCAGGGGTCTCAGAAAGGCCCTTCTGGCTCCATGAGTTGGCAAGATAAACCAGAACCGGGGCAGGTCATCTCCATCTCTGAGCCTTGTGGGGTCACTCCTCACTCAGCCTGGGCACCCAGGGCTGGGAAGGGCAGGAGTCCCAGCCGGGGCAGCATCAACCAGCCACCCCCCACAGGGTTTGCCACAGGATCTGGAGACGCCTCGAGATCACTGTTCTCTGGAGCCCAAGAGGAACAGTGACCTCTGTCCTCAGACAAAAGGAAAGCTGAACACCAGGGGTGGAGGGGGTAGGGTGGGGGGCCATTCTCAAGACACAGAAAACCAGTGACAAATGAACCTCAGGCCCATCCGTCTGGGACCACAGACCCCACCCAGAGGCAGTTACCTGAGAACAGGGACCTGGTTGCATCTGGTCAGAGTAACCAGAGGTAGTCAGCCCTCCAAGACAGGGCAGACACCCCGAGCCCCAGAACGTTCCCTCCCTCCCTCCCTGCACAGACGACAAGCTGGAGCAGCAGCACTCCCTGTTTACACGCTACAAGGACCCCTGCCGCCTGGGGCCCGGGGAGGAGAAGCCATGGGCCATCGGTGAGCTGGGGCTGGGGCTGGGCGGGGGCGCGGGCTGAGAGGGACTGGGCAGGGAAGGGGCCCTGCCAAGGCCTGAGCCCCCCATGCTGAGACTTGACACTGCACCAAGGCTGGGCTCCCCACAGGCTTCCCAGAGAGACCTCCAAGACCTGCCCTCAAGATCCCACTGCTGAGGGGGCACTCAGCTGCCCAGGCCAGCAGAAACCCTCACCTGCCCCTCCTGCCCCAGAGAGGCAGCCCTTCTCGAGGCTGGCTGGGCCCTACCTGCAGTGACCGCTCCCACGCCCTCGTCCCCAGGTACCTTGCTGGAGACGGCTGGCCTCTACGATGAGGACGTGTGCACCCCTGAAAATCTGCAGAAGTAAGGACCCAGTTGTGTCGGGTGGGAGCGGGTGGATCCTGAGCTGGCTCCCAGGTCTGGGATGAGCACAGCACCCTGACTCAGGGCTGTATGGGGCAGACGAGAGAGCACAGCTCCACGGGAAAGAAGCCTGTGAGAACCTCGGGGACTGAAGCTGGGGGCAGGCACAGGCCAGGGTGGCCCCCACGCCCCAGGGGCTGGCTTTACCAAGGAGAAGCCTCCAAGTAGGCCTGGGGTCCCAAGGTGGCATTTCCTACACCAGCACCCAGAGACCGGGTCACTCTACAAGAGCATGCCCTGCCCCAAGCCCCAGTCTGCGTTGGGGCCCTGCTGGGCACAGGAGAAGGGACCAGAATCTTCCAGGGTGAGGCCAAGGGCTGCTGAGATCCCTGTAGAAGAACCCTGGGCATGGCGTCTGCTCCAGGGAGCCTGGTACCTAGTATCCACCAATTGGGCAAATGAAAATATGAGCAGAGCTAACACAAGCCAGTCATTTTCAAAGCAGAGACAGTTGCATCCCAGCCAAACTTCATTCTTGAATCCGATGAGACCTCCATAAAGGACAGATTTGAGAGGCCAGCAGCAGAACCAATTTATAATTCACAACCTGAGACTGTGCAGTCACAGCAATGGCTCCTTGCAGCTAATTTGAGCCAATTAATTAGATTATAGACTAAATCTGAAACATCATCCTATGCTGAGAAAATGATCTTTTTATGAGATGATGATTAAAAAATGACTATTAGTAACTCTTAGATCATGGATGCTGGAATTAATTATCAAAGGCAAAGGACAGTAATGGATTATATTTCTGAGATGTAACGATGTTCTGCATGTCATTAGTGTATTTATCTCAAGGCTGATAAAGACCTTGTAGAAACCCACGTTTGCTGGCTGTGCCTGTCCAGACGTCCCTTCCATTTGTCCAGGCATTAGCTGGCCTGTGCAGTGTCTCTTGGTGGCTGTGCCTCCCGTCCCCAACGTTGGCCTGCACTTGCCCTCTGCGACAGGGTCTCCCATAAAGTCTCCTCCCCACTGGTGCTGGGCTCCAGAGGAAATCAGTAGGAAGGAGTTGGCAGACAGGGAGTCAGAAGACCCGGATTCAGGGTGTAACACCCCACCTGAGCGCCCTACCTTCCCTGTAGAACCTTGGCCAGCACTCAAGCACCCACATCAGTTTCCTTCCTCATCCTACGTTGTTCCTTTCTCGGCACACCTGGCCCCCGAAGTGTCCTGGGGCCCACAGCAATCATTCCTGTGCCAGAGAAGAAATGGAGGCTCAGAGGTTTGGTGGCTCAGAGACAGACTGACACAAGAGTCCAGTCCTGGGATGGGGCATGGTGCTCTCCTGGCTCCCCCACCCCGCTGCTGACCTGAAACAAGAGTCATGGGGAGTCTGAGGACTTCCAGGAGAGAAGGGTCCCTGAGATTCACTACAAAGACCAAGTTCCCCCAGACAGGCCCCGATTGGCTCAGAGCAGAACCCCATTACTCAGAGGGGCTGGACAGCACTGTCCCCGACTCAGCCATGAGCTCTGGGCAATGCTGGGTCCAAGTTGCAGCCACGGACAACATCCTAGTTCAGAAAGGGAAAGCGAGTGCTGGCCAGCCCAAGGTGGACATGGGACATGGGACATTCCCAGACAGACTTTGGAGTGGCCCAGTTCAGTCAGGAACTTGCAGGATCAGACTGTTTCCCTTCATCCCAGTCCCTTTTTGGGCCCACAGGGAAGACAGATCTTAAATGCAGGAGTTTGGTCTGACCTGCTTCTCTCTCACTTGGGGATGAGAATGTGGCTCCACACTCAGGACCTGGGGCCAGGAGGCTGGGGCAGGGACTTACCTTGCCTCCCTGTGCCTTTGTCTGCATGAGCAGGGTCTTGGAGAGTGAGGAAGGCCGCCGGGAGTACCTTGCCTTCCCCACCAGCAAGAGCCCTGGGGCAGGCCAGAAGGGACGCAAGGACCTGCTGAAAGGCAACGGCAGGCGCATCGACTACATGCTGTACACGGAGGAGGGGCTGTGCCGGGACTGGAAGGCCGTGAGTCTGGGGCTGGGCTTGGCAGCCAGGCCATGCCTGTAGATAGGGGACCCTGCACCCTGCACCCCTTAACGGCACTGAGCTCTCCTCCGAAAAACGAGACCTGTCTAAGGGTCCTAGAGACCCTTAGGGCCCATGGGATCCTCCTACCCCTCTGGCCTCAGGAAGATCCAGGCCAGCCCCAGCCCAGAGGCCCCACTCCTGCCCTCTAGGCCTCTCCTTTGTAGGATGCCCTTTGGGTCTAATCAGGATGCTTTTGCCCCACCCCTTTCCACAGGAGGTGGAAGAATTCACTTTTGTCACCCAGCTGTCAGGCCTGACAGACCACCTCCCGGTAGCCATGCGGCTGATGGTGTCTGCAGTGGAAGAGGAGGCATAGACCAGCCAAGTCATGAGAAGCAGCTGGGCCTCTGCCAGCCCTTTGAGCCAAAGCCCCTCCCTGGCCATGTCCCCTCCAGCAAGCACCTCCCAGTGCTGGGGGAGGAGGGCAGGGGCCCGGGGTGGGGAGCCGCGGTCAGTCCCAGTTGAGCCGGAACCAGCGCTGCCCTGTACCTCTGGGCACTCGCCGTTGGACAGAGGAGTCAGGCTGGCCCAGGAAGCCCTGGCTGCCCAACCAGTGCCATTCTTTCCAAACGTGATTTTCTACAATCTACAGCACAACCTAGTTTGTAACCCGTGAGTTAGTATGAGAACCGGGTTTCTGTACTCTTTGTATCTCTTCTCAAGCTTTGTCCAGGGTTCATTATTTTTGTCTGCTGCCATGTTGTCTCGCATGCCTGCACCCTCGCATGCACGCTGCCTGCATGCCACATGCCACACCGTAACCACACAGACCCCTCGCTTGGGCCTCACCCAAGGCCAAACTCCAAACACAATCAGAACCAGCCAAAGAAGCACTCCTGGGCACAGGGCTGCCAGCTCACCGCCTCCAGCCGGGACAGCTCCCGAGCAGGGACCGTGAGGCTGTGTCCAGTTACCAGCGAGCCTGGGCTCTTCCCAGGGTCTTGCATTCAAGGGCGATCACATTTTAAAAAGAAAAACAGAAGAAGTTAAGAAAAAAGACAACCCTTCACTTTAGAGGGGCTGCAAGCCACAAGGAGAACGCTGCTCTTCCTGAGACAGGCTCCCTTCCTCCCGGCACACCAGGGCCCCAGAGGCTCCCCAAAGATTCCGAAGTGGGTAATGGAACCAAAGACAGGAATCCCAGGAGAGCATCACTTTTTTACAGGACGAAGGGGAACTCATGGCATGGGGGGTAGGAGGGCTTCTGGTTTTGAAAGTGATCGATTCGTAGCTTCCCTTCTGTCAAAACCAACACATCCTCTTCTTTCTGCCTAATCCCATCTCCCCTCTGGATACCTCTCTGGTTTGGGACCAATCCTTCCCTGGGGCCTGTGCCCATCCATGTGCTGGCTGAGCTCAGGAACTGTCCACCTGCCTCTGGGTGGGGCTGTGGCTCTGATCTCCCAGGCCCGTTCTCAACAGCAACCCAGGGGCTCTGGAGGAAGGGGCAGGAAGCCAAGGTACGGAGAACAGCATGTCCCCTCATCAGTGTGCAGGCTGGGGGTGGCAAGGCCAATGGTCACTGCTTGCCTGGGGCAAGGAGTGGTACTGGTTGGCATCCAGATGCATAGATCCCTACTCTGCTACTGTGTGACCAGGGCCAGCCCCAGGCACCCAAGCACAGCATGGCAGAGCCTGCAGGTGAGGCCCACAGCTCCCCGCACCATGGCAGCACTGCCTCTGCCCACCTTCCTTTTTAAACACACCTGGAGACACTCCCCACAGTCATGCAGGAAGGGTTTTGTCTGTTTCCAGGTGGGAGGCTCCTCCACCTCGGGGGTTCTTGACAACCCCCACTGGTCTCCCCTCCTCACAGTGCCCTGACCACGTGCCCACCTGGCTTGAAGCCAGCGCTGCCCAGCAATGCTGGGGGGTGCATCAGGACCCTGCTGCTGGGAGCCTCTTGGTGCCAGTGCACTGATGCTGTGCCTTGTCACCCACTGAGCTACAAGACAGGGACCAAGAGGGGGCCAAGCAGCCAGCAAGAGGCCAGACCCTGTGCTGGGGGAGAACACTCCTGAGAGCCACACCTGTGGTGGCACTGGTTTGTCTAAACCCACCTGGCCAGGGCAGCAGCTGGGCTGAGGCCTTTGCCGCCAGGAGCAGTTCCCTGGCCAAGCCCCCAGCCCCACCTCCCAAGTCCAGAGCCAGGAGGGGCTGCTCACCACTGGCTAAGCGTGCAGTTCCTCCTGGGCTCTCTGCTGTGCCCCTCCTCAGAGGGCCTCGCTTTCAGGGCCTTGGCTAGGCTTCCTGCAGTCAGAGGACCCCCCACTCCCAGGAGCTGCCGGAATCTCTGCTCCTACAGGTGGGGCCTAGCCAGAGGGCCAGGCCTGAGCTGAGGCCCCCAGGCTGAGTCGGCTGCCCAGGAGAGCAGCAGAGGCAGAGACCAGGGCTCCTGAAGCAGAGCAACTCCAGCATAGCTCCCATGGCTCCGAGAGGCTGCCTTCCCCCCAGGGCAGCTTGGTGGGAGCCAAGGCACAGTGGGGCACATGCTTCTCTCCCTAACTCACAGGGCGCCTTAGGCAAGTCATACCTCCCTGTGCCTCGGTCATTTCCTGTCCTAACAAGGTCGCCTCTGCCCAGCCTGGCCCTGGCGTTCAGAGCAGGGCCAGCCTGCCTCCTAGCTCCCCTCGCACCTCCCTATGGCATTGCCCAACCACATGTTTCAAGAAGTCTGTGGACTCCCAGGGCTGTGCACAAGCCAGACTTTTCCAATTTGATTTTTAAAAAAGAAAGAAAAGAAACATTGCCAGGACCTCAGATCCTGTGGCATCTAGGCCTGGGAGGGGCGGACAGAGGGGTCACCCAAATCCCCAACCAAGGCCCTACGCCTGCCCTGGGCCCAGCCTCCTCCAGAGAAGCCAGGAGGTGGGGGTCAGCTTTGGAAGGAAACAGCCCTTTTCATTTGTCCTAACCACCTTGAGTTTTAAGTATGAATATTAATCTTGATGCTTTTTAACTATTGTATTAACTTGCTAAGATTTAGAAATACTGTTTTAAAAAGAAAAAAAAACACTTTTTTAATTTCTGTATTTTTTTCTGTATTGTATCCTCATGGGACATTAGGGGTTTTATATGGTAAGCACACCTAAGGTTTTGGTAAAAACATTATCAAATATATATCCAGACGATTCTTCCCTAGAAGAAAAACAATCTTTACACCTGATAAAATATTTTCAAAAGAGAGGTGTTTTTTTCCTTTATTGGTGCTGAAAGGAAGGATGGATAATGAGGAGAAAATAAAACTGTGAGGCTCAAGCCCTGTGTTCTCCACTTATTTGAGCAACAAGCTGGGGCTGGGCCCCGCTCCAACTCCACCCCTGGGGCTGCACGGCCAAGTGGGGCTGTGGGGGCAGTGCTGGGGGGGGGGCCGGCCTTTCCTGCCTCGCCCTGCAGGATGGGCACAGCCCATGTCTGCCCTGCACCGGCAGGAAACCAAGCCACTTGGGTTCTCTTACTTGGTGTCTCCTTGTTCCCTCTGGAACTGGGAGGAAACAGCAAAAACGCACCTTGACTGTGGGGAGAAGCAAGGCTGGGGCCTCCTCAGGACTCTCTGGCCTTCCCTGGCAAGGCAAGGCAAGGCCAGGCTGGGGTGGCTGCACCGTACCCATCTGCCCCAGACTTCTGAGGTAGTGGGAGGTCCTTCGCTAAAAGGAAGGTACACGGGAAAAGGCTGTACCTTCTGGTTCCCTCTCTTGATGGCTGGTTTCCTGGATCTACATCTCAGGAACTGCTTTGGGACAGCCTCCTCCCTGTCCTCTCAACAGCAACCTGGTGTCTAGGTGTCGAGTCTTGGTCACCTGCTGGTGCTGCACACTGAGGCCAGACACTTAGGAATGTGGCTTGGTGATGTTACCCAGCAAGTGAAAGGGCCAGAACCCCACCCTGAACCCGGCCCTGCCAGGGCCTTCAAGGCCTGGGGCCCAGCCAAGAGTCATCATCTCCGCCCCTAGAAGCCCTCCTAGCTGGAGCCAGGCGGGTCCCAGAGGTTCCCAGAGTGCAGGCCAGGCCGGCTCCCACCACGAGCAGCATACCCACCTCAGCACTGTGCAGCCGAGAGCAGCACCCACCCTGCCCAGCCCAGCTGACTACAGGGCTCCACTCCTTTCCAGGGAGGGCAGGAGGGAGAGTGCAGCCTTCGAGCTTCTGAGCACTTCAGAACCACCACATGGTGAGCTCCCTGGCCCCTCCTCGACTCCAAATTCAGCCAGCAGCCCATACCTGGAGTGAGGAGCCGGCAGTGCAAAAAAGCAAAAAAAAAAAAGGCCAGGCTGGGCCCTGAAAGGAGAGGCACCTTCACTTTCCTTCCCAGAAAGCCACACCATTCAGGAGCCCTTGGGCCACTTTATTTCTCAACAAGTGAGGGTCAGTGCCCATCATCCAGAGCATCTGAGAGCGTGAAATCCATGGTGATGTCTCCAGTGTCGGGGTGGAACTCCACAGCGTAGCTGACTGTTCGAGAGCCGCCCAGCGGTGCTCTAGGGTCCAGTGTGGAGCTGAAGAAGTACACAGCCTGCTTGCAGTGGGGGTTCCAGCAACAGTCCTCCTGCAGGAGGGGTAGCAAGAAGGCAGTGAGAGTTCCTAGCACCCAAGCGCCCTCCTGGCCAGCCTCTAGTCCAGGCAGCTCGCAGTGGGAAGCTGCTGCTCAGAACCAGGTGACCCAGGGCCAAGTGACCTGGGGCCACTGAGTTATCATCTGGCTGAATGAGCCAGGAATACCCAGAGCACGAGTAAGCGGCGTGGCCTCCCCCAGCAGCGCCTGCTCTCAGGGTTGGCCCACTTGGGGACCCGCATGTCCAGCACTACCTTGTTCTCTGCAGGCTTCAGGAGGCCAGTGCTGACCGTGCTGTCCTGAGTCAAGTGGTATTCCATCCACAGGACGACCCCATGGCTCCTACCAGGCCTGGGAGGGTGGGGCAGGATGTTGGGCCAAACAGAAACAGCCATATGAGAGATGAGTGGGCACACCCATGGCTCCCTTCTGCTTTCCAGAAACCTCTGGTCTTCCCCACTTCCATCCTGCCCAGTCAACAAGCTCCCAACACTCCCCCTGACTAAAGGCTACTCAGTAAAATACTGAGGAAGAAGAGTCACAACCCAGGGCCCCTACTCACTCCTCACGGCCTGGCCAAGCACTCAGAATAACTGTGGAGCAGGACCAGCCTCCTCGGCCTGAGGTCATGAAAGGCTTGGTCCAAGAAGGCTCAGAGCACAGCCCTGGCAACAAAGGCTGGAAGAACCCTACCAGATACCCTGGATGGCAGGCCCAGATGGGTATCCGCCCTGCCTCCCCCTTGTCAAAGAGCCCCGAGGGGTTCTGGGCTCATGGCCTCCACCCAGTTAGAAGAAAGTTCTTCCTCTGGGAAGAAGCAGCTCCTCCCTGGGAAGAAAGCTGGAGGTGGATGGGCCTGACCGTGCCTCACAATGAGCAACTCTTGCCAATTCCAAACCTGCTTTGATTCTCAGGAGAGTTCAGGAAAATAGTCCAATGGGTAACCATAGCAACCAAATTCACGTTTCTCTGCAGCTGTAATTCAACATGCCGCTCAGCTCAAAGGGAGCCTCAGATGCTGGGGAGGATGAGCAAAGCCTACTCTGGCTCTCCCCCCCACCCACACACACCCAGAGACACACCTGCTATACTCATGGCCACTTCAGACCAGAAATGGCAAGGCCGAGTCAAGGAGAGCTATCCCACTTGCTTGAAAATGGCCCAAGTAAGTGTTTAGCCACACAGGGCAGTAACTGCTAGACAGAAAGTAGGCCCCACCACTTTCTCCCCATACTCCCCGCACCCTGGAGCCTACAAGCACCTCCTCAGCTCGATGGAGCCCTCAGCACGGACAGGCTGTGGGGGGACTGGCTGCCGAAAATCAAAGGTCAGGATCTGCCAGGGCTCGGAGAGGCTGTGGCACGGGTACTCCCACAGCGGGTGGGGCTCGGCTTCCTTGCTCTCCTTGAAGTCCAGGGCACGCTGAGGAGGGAAAAGAGTACAGGGGTCTACAGAGACAGAGCCAGGCAGCCCAGGGGACAAGTGGCTCGTGCCCCATATCCAAGGTCTATGACAGTGGCCCCTCACCTCCATGGCCCGGGTCCCTCAGGGTAACTGCCACAGTCACGGCAGTGGGTCCTCACAGAAAGACCACAGGTGCCTGGATCAGACCAGCTGGCTTCTCCGTTCCCTGCCACCACTCACGAGCCGTCTCCTCGGGGAGTCACTTCACCTCTCTAAACCTCATTTTCCCTCTTTTTAAAATGGGATGACACTACACTACTATCTCACGAATTACTTTGAGAACCAAATGTCTACATTGGTGAAAACACCTGACACTTGGCGACTCACCCATTCAGTGACCCTTCCTGAGCACTACAGCTGCCAGATCACCCCCAAACGAGGCTCCTAGTCTAGAAGGAAACGACATGGAGACCAGCAATCGCAGGGCCTGGGGAGCACTGACCTCTGGTGGACAACTGAGCTGGGCGAGAAAACTGCCCGGAGGGGTGTTCTCTGGGCTGCCTCCTCAAGGTCACACAGGAGTTGGTAGCAGGGAGGAGAGCAGACAAAGCTAAGCAGGGAGAGGACACAGAGAGTAGCCCAGGCAGGCAGAGCGGCAGGGGTGACTCTGCAGGGGGTTGGGGGAGCCTCATGGGGTTTCCTCATGGGGTTTCCCAAGACACAGCAAGGCTTGGGATCTACAAGGTTCACTTGGGCTCCGTGTGGAGGAAGGCCCAGCGGGAGAGGTAGGAGGCTGCACGGCCACAGGCGAGAGATGAAAGCAGCCCAGACCAGAACAGCAGCAGCGGGGGAAGAAAACTGAGGATCCGACTGTTATGGAACCCGATGACCAACTGCAACTGAAGGCAAGGACTTGGCTGGGAGGATGCCCGGGGCCCTCAGCCCAGGCAGTTGGGTATGAAGTAGTGGCAGGCCTAGGATGGGAGCGCTGGAAAGGACCAGGCTAGGGGTGGGGGAAGAGCAGGTGGATTCTGGAAGCATTAAGGTCAGAGTCCACTGCTCTTAGTTATTTGGTCTGAGTTCAGGAGAGATGCAGACATTGGCCAGCAAGATAGAGGACAGGGGACAGCCAGGGAGGGTGGGGTCAGGCAGGGGCCTGAGGGAGACCTAGACACACATCTTAGGGGATGGGAAGGGTGGAAGTTCAGGAAGGAGCCTGAGTGTGCAGTGACTTGGCACAAAAGAGATTTCTAGAAGCATGAACAGTCAGTGGTCTGCTGTGGAGGAGCTGGTAAGATGCAAACTGAAAATATCCGCTGGCTTTAGCTACTTAAAAAAATGTTTACACAAGCAATCTATAATCACTGTAGAAAAATGTGAATGGAAAGATAAGCAACAGGAAGAAAATTAACCACTTCCTAATCACAGGGCTAACATTTTGGTGTCCACTATTCCATTTTTCTGTGTATGCGTGAATTTTCTTAATATATAAAAATGGAGTCGTGTTCCTTGTCCTGCCCTTCTCACATGGACACATCAAGACTCTTGCTTTGATCCTTGCAGATCCAACCATCATTGGCACCTTCACGTCTGTCTGGGTTCTGGGGGTGGCAGACCCTGGTAGCTGACTCAGTCCCCTACTGATATATAAATAACCCTGAGGACCCTCCTTCCACATCTCTCCCCATGCTCTAGCAGCTTCCCTTGGAATGGAGTCCCCAAAATGAAAATGGCTAACTCAGAAGGTTACCAAACTGCCTTCTAGAAAATTTGTCCCAACAGAGAACAAGCTGCTGACATTGGCAAAAACAGATCTAGTAGCACAGTGATGGACGGGCCCCAGCCCAAAATTCTGATTCAGGGGTTACAGCCCAGGGTCAAGAACGGCCTGGTACCAGACTTTGAGATGCAATGGTTCGCAGGTTCATGCTCATGGTGAACCAAGCAGAATAGATACACCTGCCCTCTCTGCCCCTAACAGAAGAGCTCTCTGCACGCTGCTGGCACTACCAAACCCAGGTCCCTCCACAGAATCCAGACGTCCCTGTTAGGGTCCTGTGGCCATGAGAAGTGGGTGGGTGGGACATTGCGAGTGGGAGTTGTGGCCCCACTTACCTTAATCATGTCATCCATGATGTGCACATCAAAGCCTTCACAGTCACCACAGGGGCTCCGGATCCGCCACAGGTCCTGTGAGGAAGGTACAGCCTTCACTGATACCCATCTGCCAAGGCATGCTGACATCCACACTCACCCATGCCACAGGTTCTGTGGGACAGCACAAAGACATCCATACCCACCCAGGGACACAGAAGTGCAGTGACAAGTGCAAGAAGGGTCAGTGAGGTGAGGCTGGGGGCTGCCCTAGCCCCAAACCTGAGGCACATCTTGCTGTTCCCACACGCCTAGAAGAGACTCCCAAGGCTGAAGGAACTCAGAGACACCACAGATCCAGGCTGGTCCTTCAAGTCTGCCAAGTCTCACATGACCCCAAGTCCTCTCCTACAAGGGGACAACTGGCCAGAGCTACTAGGCTGGGGTTCTCGCTCCCTGTCCATCCTGAACACTGTTTCTTTGGGAGGCAGTTTGTAAACTAGTTCTCGAGGCTTTGCACCTATAAACAGAACATGAGGACAAGGGGAGGGAAAGGACCAGAAATGCACTCAGGGCAGGCAACTCTGTGTCCTGTCTCCTGGAGGTATGCCTGGATAAGCATCATTCTCTGCCCTCCCTCTTTGGCCATGTGAAACTCTGACCAGGTATATAAATAACACAGAAGAAATGTCCAGAAAATAAGTGATGGAGCCACTAAGCTACCAGTGGATAAAGCCATTCTTACCAAAGAAATATCAAATGAGGCTCCCTCTACATTTCAGGTTAAAAGCATTTCAAAATCCTTTTAATAAAAAACGCCTTTCCCAAAATGACTTTGTGATTGGTTCTGCTTTGATGAGAAAATTAAAATGAAGCTTTTCAAGTTTTCCTTGAGTAAAGAAGCTGATTCTCCTATCTCAAAATGCTTTTAACTGGAGCCTCAGCTCTTAATGAGAGCAGAGCAAGCTGCACAGCATGTCTTCTGAAACTCTTTATATTTTTTTAAATTATTCTGATAAGCCATAATTGTAAAATGACAACACACAGTCATTTCCATTTCATATACCAAATTACTGCATTTTTACAGAGACCAGCCTCTTCTATTCAACCCTGCAGTGTGCTGAGACAGAAAAGTAGAGGCCCAAATCATTAAGACTAGACTTGCTCCACCTGCACCCAAAGTCTCTGCAAGAAAACAAGGTCCCGCACCCCTTCTGCAAAAACCTCTGGGTGGCCTACCCTGAACTCCACGACCACAGCATGCAGCGAGGCAGCCTGGGGCAACACCACGGCGCCAGGCCCCAGGTGCTGGTCCACGGCGGTCCGCACGTACCAGAAGAACAGGTTGTGCCATGGCAGCAGGCTAGTGGTGAAGAACGGCTCCCCCAGGAGGAGAGAGACCTGGCGACCAGAGCAAGAAGCAGGACCAAGGCGTCAAAAGGATTTGGCTGAAGAATGAAGAACAGGTCACAAGTTTCATGGGTAAATGGAAGTAACAGGCCATTCATTCATTCACTCACTTAGTCAACAAGCAATCATGCCAGGTCTGCACCTGCCCTTGAGGATACAAAGATGAGAAACAGACACAAGCCCCTCCCTCAGGAGGACAGAGTGAAAGAAGGAGCAGATGAGGCTGGGGGCTGTCCTCATAGAGTGTGGTAAGCTTTGATAGAAGCAAGGAATGGACACATGGATGCACCCCAGAGGTAAGAGTATCAGGAAGGGCTTCCAGGATGGCACCCTGTAAATCCCCACTCAGAGCTTTATCATGACAATTTATCCTCAGGGCTCCTCTAACTGCCTCCCTCACTAGGCTCTGAGCACCACAGAAGAGGGGCGTTGGCAGCCCAGTACTCCCAGAACCCAGCAAAGTGCCTGGCCCAGAGCAGATGCTCAGTAAAGGTTTGCTGAGTAAATGAACACATGCATGAACAGGAATCAGAAAAGCAAAGGTGTGGGGCGCCTCCAGACAGAGGGACGGAAGGAAAGAGGTGTGGGTGTGAGTGAGGCCCTTTCGGGAACTTGTCAGATGAGCATGCGGGAAAACGGTAAGAGTAAGGCCAGGGGAGTGCAGAGGCGCCAGGACACCCAAAGGCAGCTGATGATAGGCTAAGGGGGCTGGACTCTGCCCTGGAGGCAAGAGGGGGGGTCCCTAAAAGCTTTAATCAGGGTTTCAAAATAAGAAGGAATGTCTTTTAGAAAGATCCCTCTGACGACCATGAAGTACGTGGGGAGACCACCTGCAGGTGGAGCTAGGGACAGGAGGTGACTTGGGCGAGTACTGCAACAGTCCAAGCAAGGAGCAGGGAATCTGTGCAAAAGGAGGAGAGCGAGACATGGCAGATGCTGAGGAAACAGACCACCCAAAGCGTGGCCAAAGCAGATGGGCATCAAGAGAGGGGCCAGCCAGAGATGACGCCTGGGTTTCTGGCTGAAATGACAGAGATGCAGAAGGAAACACTGAAGACAGAAAAGGCTCGGCCCTGAGTACTCCCTGCTCCCCAACATCGGGAACGAGACAAGAATGCCCACTCTCACCAGCTCTATTCAACAGTGACCTGAAGTCTAGCCAGTGCACCTTATCAATGGTTTACAGAATTTAAATATATTTTTAATCTTCATCTATAAGAAAAAAAAGAGCAACCTGTACATGAATGTTCATAGCAGTATCGTTCACATATTAGCCAAAAAGTAAAATAATCCAAATGTCCATCAACTGATAAATGGATAAATAAAATGTGGTATATCCATACAATGGAATATTATTCAGCAGTAAAAAGAAAAAAAGTATTGATTTATGCTACAACGTGGATAAACTTTGAAAGAAGTCACTTACAAAGGACTATATATTGCATGATTCCATTTACATGAAATGTCCAAAACTGGCATATCCATATAGACAGAAAGCAGATTACTGGTTGCCTAGGGCTGAGGGGATTGGGGGCAAATGGGGAGTGACTACTAATAGGCATGAGTTTCTTTCTGGGTGATGAAAATGTTCTAAAATTAATTGTGGTGATGGTTGCACAATCTTATGAATATATTAAATCAGTGAAGTGTATACTTTAAATGGGTGAACCGTATGATATGTGACTTATATCTCAAAAAAGTTGTTCTTAAAAAAAAAGGCATGGGGGAAAATGGGCAAAAGATTTGAATAGACATTTCACCAAACAAGAAACAGAATATTTAACAAGCACATGAAAAGGTGTTCAACATTATCAGTCATTTGGCAAATACAAACCAAAACTATGACAAATACAAACCAAAACTATGAGACATCACTACACCTGCTAAAATGGCTACAATAAAAAAGATAGGGGGCCAGCCCGGTGGTACAGTGGTTAAGTTCATACACTCTGCTTCGGAGCCCAGGGTTCATGGGTTCAGATCCCGGGTGCAGACCTACATACCACTCATCAAGCCATGCTGTGGCGGCGTCCCGCACACAAAGTGGAGGAGGATTGGCAACAGCCCAGGGCCAATCTTCCTCACCAAAAAAAGGACAGATAATACCAAGTGTAGGTAAAGATACAGAGAAACTGGAACCCTCCTACATTGCTGGTGGGGATGTAAAATGGTATGGCCACTTTGGACAACAGTGTAGCAGTTTCTTTAAAAGGTAAACAAAAATACCATACAACCCAGCAATACTAGGTATCTACCCAGGAGAACTGGAAACAGATCCTTACAAAGACTTAGACACCAGTGTTCACAGCAGCATTATTCACAATAGCCAAAAACTGGAAACAATCCAAAGATCCATCAACAAGTGCAAAGATAAACAACATGTGGCACAGTTATCCAATGGAACACTATTTAGCATTAGAAAGGAACAAGATACTGACATGTTCTACAACATGGATGAACCTCAAAGACATGCCCAGCAAAAGCAGCTCGACACCAGAGACCATATTGTATTATTCCACTTACGTGAAATACCCAGAAAAGGCAAATTAATAGAGACAGAAACCAGATCAGTGGCTGCCTAGGGCTGGGAGCAGGGTGACAGAAACGTAAAACTAGATAGTATGATAGTTGTACAACTCCATAAATTTACTAAAAAAATCACTGAATTGTACACTCGAAATGGGTTATTATGGTATGTCAATTACATCTCAATAAAGCTGTTAAAAAAAAAGTTTGGCAAGAGAGACGACAGGTTCCAGCTTGAAGGGCTGTGGGATATTTGAGGAAAGATATCTAGTTGGCAGTCAGACATACGAGATTTGAAGACTCAGCTTTCACAGTCATGGATTTCTAAACGGGAAAGCATATGATCACCAGGAGAAGAGACACAGAGGGAGAGGAAAGGATGGACAAGGAGAGAGCTCCAAGAAACATCCCTAGGGAAGAATCAAGTGAAGGAAGAGAAACCCATGAAGGACTGAGAAGGAGCAGCTGGAAAGTTAAGAGAAAATCTGGAAAAAGCAGTCTCTTGAGAACCTAAAGAGAAGTGTGTTGAGGAGGGAGAGGTCCCTGGTGGTAAGGGTCCAGGGGTACAGTGAGACGAAGGCTGCAGGGAGACTGTGTTTAGTAACTAAGAGGTGGGAGCAGCTTCCAAGGCCCACACTAGCAACTGAAGACCAACTGCGGCGGGAGGAAGTGAGCAGGAAGCTGAAGCAAAGGCAGCGGTGCCCTCTGTGAGAGGGCACGACATGCTGCTATTAACCCCAGCAGAGCCGTTCTTCCCTCACTTGACGGAGATTAGCCAGAGTTCAGAGTAGTGCAAGTATTTGCTCATCAGGCATCTGTGCAAACGCTCCCACACCCTCAACAGTGGCGCGTTCTTAGCTGGTGAGTGACGTAGGGTACCTAGGGTGAGGCCCAGAGAGCAAGGGTAGCCCGGACCATCTCAGTGCTGTGCTGCCCAGGGCAAATGCAGAGGTCTCCTACTCACCTTTTTACCCTCCAAGTCTGCAGATGTTAATAATTCAGGCCGTTTCTCTATTATATTAATTTTATCTTCCAAGTGGTTAGCCTTGAAAATCTTAAAGAGACAACAATAAAAGTATTGTTTTTGTCCGGGAAAAAACATCTCTAACTTGCTTTATCTGTTTGCAGTTTTCTGGCCAAACGTTCCAGAACCACTTTATATGCTTTGTGGAAATTCTCCCCTCCAGGGGCATCCTATAGACCAAGGATGAGATCACTGGCAAAATGTTGTAACAGCAAAAGAAATTTCTCTTGTAGGCACATCAGCAGGACTTAGCAGTAGGTTTGCAGTTCTGGTGGAGGCAGGTTGTCCTTCAGGGAGGAAATCAAAACCAATCACTGGCCAGGAGGAGAAATACCGTCACAGAACCAACCAGTCGGGTCAGCTTCTGATCAGTGACTCCCGGGGTGCTGATGTCCCAGAAACAAATCATAAATTCAGTTCTATCACGACAAAGATTTTAGTTTAGTTTTATGTGAAGTAAAAAGAAAAGCCTACACTTCTTCAGCCACAAAAAACAAGAGCCTAAACGTTTGCTGCTATTCAGTGACAGCCCCAGAAGACTTCCAGGCCAGCTCTCAACGCAGGAGTAATGAGAGCTCTCACTGGCAGCTGCTACTTCTCCCAGTGCCCTTAGTACCGACGCTGCTTCAAAGCGATCAATCCCAGACTCAGGAAGGCAGGCCCCACAGGTCCCCTCATTATTTCAGTAACAAGAATTATCACTTACTTTTTTCATCAGTCTGTGAGAAGCTGCTGAACTCTCTATTGTAAATACCTAAGGAGAATACCATGCTATTAGTTGCAGGAGATTCACTTGACAGAGAAAGAAATTAAAGATTAAAATGCAACAAGATCATTCCAAGACAGAGGGCACCACCTAACCAACTCTACCTGCGCTTATCACCCACTGGGACAGCACCTACATTCTGCACCGTCCCTAGCGAGGTGGCAGATTCAGACACCAGAGCTGCAGCCATATGACAAGAGCTATAGCCTGACTCCTGCCTGCCCAGAGGCAATAAACCCCTAAGCCCCTGAACCAAGCACGCCACACACATGGAGCTGCACTTGCAAAGAGCTTTAGTCACAAAACTGTGTACCCGAACCACACGACACCTAACTCAAGAGCCACCCTCAGGAAGCTGGAAGAAGGCACATGCCCACTACCTGCTCTGCCCCAAGGTGATGGGCCAGCATGGAGAGCAGACTGCCGTCGCTGACACACAGGCAGACACTGTCTGACTTCAGCACCTGCAGGAAAAGAGCAACCTCAGCACAGGTTTTCTTACAATCTGTCAAGAAATTCTTGTTGGCAAACTAACAGAAACATGTCCCTCCTCCTGACCCCACTAACTCATTCTGTGATCATTCAATTTCATCTCCTCCTCACTCCATCCCTGCCACCACCCGGCTGGATCTTCATGCCCCTACACCAGTTATACTTGCCTCCCAGGTCCAGGTACAACCAGCCCCCATCATCCAACACACCCACCTCACTCTCCTCTCCCCACCCAGAACCCAATGTCAGGAGAGACCCTCCTCAAGCTGTCCTAGAAGGCCCAGCTGAAGACCTGCCCCACTTGCCTGAGGCCACCTCCTTCTAGTCCATGACCACAAGCCTCTTCTCTGTCTGGTCACAGCACCAAAAGCTGTGGGCCTGTCAAGTGACTCGCCCAAGGCAGAGATGCCTTTATGGGCCATAGATCCCTCTGAGAGAAACTTAGGACAGATGGGATCTTCCCTCCCCCTAAAATGCATGCATGTGCATACATGCACCCATATTTCTGCATACGACTCCAAGGGGTCCAAGAGACCCCACGCGAAGCCCTGCGTGTGGTCCCTAGGCTGAGAGACCCCTGCTACAGGCAGCAGGGAGCAAAGGTTTTCAAGCAGGAGAGTTATGTGACCAGATTTACATTTTAGAAAATTTTAGAAAGGATGTAGCAGATGAAAAGAAGAATGGGGTGGCCGGATCCACTGGGATCACTCACAGGAATTGCTGGTGACCACAAAGGCAAAGCATCCAGAGAGACAAAGGCAGGGACCAAGGGTAGGCTCCCAGCCCGAGGCTCTCACAGGAGAGCAGAGAACAGGCCCTCAGGAAGTCCAAGAACAAGCTCCTCGGCTCTCTGCCCAAGTGCCCGCCCAGAAGGAGCCGGCTGAAGCCACTCATAGACCAAGGAGCACAGAAAACAAAACCAGCAAATCATAAGCAAGCAATGAGCTGGGCCCATGAGACAAACTTCTTCTTGACCACAACCACCCAAGGGGCTGGACACTTACCGTCCTCAGGGCCTGGATGTATTGATCAGTTCTGTCCTGATCGTTGATCTCTCCAAACCGAGGCCGGTTCCAGAGCAGGTGAGCCTGGCAGTCGCACACGGGACGCCCTTGGTGGATGCTCCCGTTCTTTTCGGGGCTGAGCCAGGAAATGAACAGACAGACACAGGGCCATGAGCATGACCTGCTAGACACTGGCAAGCATGAAGGCATGACACAGGAACCTGCCCCAGCAAAAGAGAGATGGGCCATAGAGGGGACACCTACGGTCCTCTAGAAGGCACGAGCCTAGACACTGGCTCTCAAGTGGACGTTACAGATTGGAGGGCCCTCCAATTCGAGGCTTCTCATATACGTCTGTTTCAAATGGGGGCCCCACAAACAGGGCAACCTCTTCAAGCACACGCAAACGGGTGCTGAAACAGCCAGTCACAAACTTGCTCTCATTTTATTCTGTTCAGATACAAATGTGCCCACTCCTGCCTCTACAGGGTCTGTAAATGGGGAATTTACATAAGTACACACTGTCACAGGCCCAGTGCCCCACCCCACAAGGCTCAGGGCACACCTGGTCCTCTGAAGGCTGTACCAAACACAGTAGTCGTCGTGGTGGGCTACCAGGCAGAGGGCTGAGCCCTGGATGACGGGCTCCTCTTGTGGCAGGAAGTACACACACTGCATCCAGTGGTCCCGCCACTGAAATGGGAAACAGAGAATCAGCTGTCATCAAGCTGCAACAAGAGGAATGCTTCTAATCCAGGAGTCAAAACTCAAGCCAAAAATCAGTTTGCAAGGAGACTACGGTGTGGACTGCAGAAAGCTACTGTGGCCGAAAAAATGAAGAAAATTTCAAGTCAGAGAGGCTAATGGCCTGAAAGCTTGCTACACTGCTGGCTTTAGGAGGATACAGTGTGGCCTAGGGCAGCGGTCTTAAAGAGGGGCTCAGGGGGAGGAAACTCCAGCCCCTGCCGTGTGTGTGTGTGTGTGTGTGTGTGTGTGTGTGTGTGTGTGTAGAGATGGAAGGAGGGAGGCAGAGAGGGAGGTAGAGAGAGAGAAAGCAAATGTGGAAAATGTTAACAATTGCTAAATTTAAATAAAGGGCATATGGGTGTTCATTTTCACTTATTCTGTGGATTTAGAATTTCACAATAAAAAGTAGGAAAATAGTATAGAAAGGTTTGTGTTGTTTATTCTTTTGAATCAAATAGTTTTTAAAGAAATGGAATACTCTAAGTTGTAAAACATGGTTTATAATGATCCAGAGTGAACCTTTAATAAGCTGTGTTGATCCTTTTTGACACTATAAACCCCACATACAAGATTCTATCCTAAGAAAAAACAAAGAAAAGAAAAAAGGTATATTCACACAAATATGCACATTACAGAATTATTTATACTAGCAAAAACTGGAACCAATCCAAACGTCCAGCAGTTCAAAACTGGATATAAAAATCCTTATGCAGACATTTATTTATTTATTTGTGTGTGTGTGTGAGGAAGATCAGCCCTGAGCTAACATCCATACCAATCCTCCTCTTTTCGCTCAAGAAGACCGGCCCTGGGCTAACACCCATGCCCATCTTCCTCCACTTTATACGGGATGCCGCCACAGCATGGCTTAATAAGCGGTGCATTGGTGCACGCCCGGGATCTGAACCCCGGGCCACCGCAGCGGAGCACGTGCACTTAACTGCTACACCACCAGGCCAGCCTCACCTGCAGACCTTTAAAATGATGAATATGAGGACTATGGTACAGCAGGACAAAACAGAAATAAGCACTGACAAAAACCCATGCACGTGAAAAGAGACCAAAGAAAGGGAGTTCTTTGGGTGGTGGGACCATGAATGACTTTTGATTCATTTTTGTTTTACATAATGAGGTTTATTAGTCTTATAATCTTTAAGCCTCTTTTAAAAAAGAAAGAACTGTCCTAAAAAAGTGGATGCCTGGCTCAACTCTGATGAGACGACTGCCTGCTCGTTCTCCGTTATCATCAGGAACTAAGGAAAACTTGGCCCTGTGAAACTCCAAGAACGCCGCTCAGCAAGAAAGCAAATGAAGCTGATGCCAGCCCCACTTCTCAGAAACGCAGTCTACCCTACCCAGTCTTGAATTTAACTAAAAGACAGGTGAATGATATTCTCATGTCTATTCAAACAGGAAAGTTAGAAATGAAAATCTAACCAGATAGTTTTGGACAAAATAAACAGTGAAAAGGAAGAAAAAAAGGTTCTCTAAAACCATTATTCATTCCTTACTATGCAAATTGGATCCAAAGGCAAGAGAAGCCTCGGGCCAGCCCTGTGGCTTAGCGGTTAAGTGCGTGCGCTCCGCTCCTGGCGGCCCGGGTTCAGATCCGGGCGTGCACTGACACACCGCTTCTCCGGCCATGCTGAAGCCGCGTCCCACCTACAGCAACTAGAAGGATGTGCAACTATGACATACAACTATCTACTGGGGCTTTTGGGAAAAAAAAGGAGGAGGATTGGCAATAGATGTTAGTTCAGAGCCAGTCTTCCTCAGCAAAAAGAGGAGGATTAGCATGGATGTTAGCTCAGGGCTGATCTTCCTCACAAAAAAAAAAAAAAAAAGAAAAGCCTCCCCTGACCCTTCTCCTTACTCGCCTAGTGCTTCTCTGTCACCGTGTCCAGCCTCCCAGGTCCTAATGCCAAAGAGCTGCTGACAGAACCCACTGTCCAAGGTGAGACGTGCTGAATATATTTCGGATCAAGGGCAGTTTAGGGAAGTCATGAGGAAGATTCATTAGCAGCTCTTCAAATTCCTAACAGTCCAAAAGTCACCATCCAAGGACACAAGCCTCACAGTCAGAAGACCTGGGAACAAATACCCACCACTGCTGCTTAGACACAAGGCCCTGCTCCAATCACTGGGCAGGGCTGAGTCTCAGTTTGGGCATTCTGTGGTTACCCAGCATGTCTTATATGAAGATTCAAGGAGAAAATATACATAATAGCACTTTGAAGATATGCAAATGAAAAGTATTAACATTTTAATGATATTCTTATGTTAATTTTGCAACCATCACACTCCTGGAGAGGAAGAAAGCACCTCAGTGCAAATCTCAATTCTGTGGGAGAATTCTGACCCTCCACCCACCCACACCCACACCCACACCCACACACATATACACATACAGCCTGCAGAGGACAGAGCCCCACAGAGGGAAGTTCATGCACACTAAAGGGTACAGTAGAGATGGGGGAGCTCACAGGACCAAGGGGCCTGACCACAGTCCTGCAGCAGTCATGGCCCTTTGGCCTAAGGAGTAACTCAGGGAGCGGAGGAGCTGCTAAGGCCTTCCCTGAAGGCACCCTGTATACAACTGAAACCAGTAGGTGGGCAATCAAAGCAAAGCCAGTGCCCAGCAAATGGTAACAAGAGGACAGAACACAGGCCTTCCAGGTAGAGAGGGAAGGTTCCATTCCTCAGCACTGAAGAACCTTTCCCACTTTTTTGTCCTTTGAGTGTGTGTGTAGAGGGGTACCTAACATATGCACATGAAAGAAAATTCAAAATATATAAAAGGGTCATGGAGTGAAAACTAAGCTTCCTTTCTACCCCTAACCTCCAGCCCCCTTCCCAGAAGCAACCATTTTTACCAATTTCTGTGAATTCTTTCAAAGATATCCTTATACATACACACCACACATATATACTCATCAACACATACATTCTTATTTTTAGTAACACCAACATTGGCATACCACACACTGTTCTGCACCTCTATTTTTGTTTCACTTAATGATATATCCTGGCGATTGTTCCACACCAGTGCACAGAGAGCTGCCTCATCCTCTGAATGGATGTAGGATAATGGACTTAGCCAGTCCCCTACTGGTGGCCTTTAGGTTGTTCCAGTCCTTTCTTTTAAATCAAGGCTGCAGTGAGTATCGTGGCACACATGTCATTCTACACATATGCAAATCCATCCACAGCCTTAGTGACTAGAAGTGGCATCACTTTCCATCTTGAGGGACTGGGCCGCACTGTGCTCCACAGACACTCTGACGATCACTTTCCTGCTCTTCCCCATAGCTCCACTAGCAGTGCGCTACCAAATTGTTTGAACTTTATTTACTAAAGGTGAAAAATGGTATCTTACTACAGTTTAAATTTTCATTGCTCTTATGAGTGAGGCTGAACAACTTTTCACATGTTAAGGAGTACTCCGTATTTCCTCTTCTATAGTTCATGTCCTCTGCCCACTTTCTATTGAGCTGGAAAAGGTAGATTTTGAAGCCAAATGAGGCTGTAGACAGGCTGTAGTTCTCCAGTCCAAGCAGATCTGAGGCCCCCTGGGATTACTCAGGAGGGAGGGTGGTGTGGGATCTAAGAGTGGCTGTGTCAGGACGCAGGAGAGTCAGCACACCCAAGCACCCCTGTGGCTCACTGCGTCCACTGGCGCTGACCATGAACTTGGCCTGAGAGGTCTACCTTATATCTTACCATAGCTAGCCTTGCCTTTTTTTTTTCTTTTTTTAAACTCTTCTTTGACATTGATTCTGACATAGTCCCTTCTGTTTCTAAATTCTTATGAATCTAAGGTTCAACATGCTACTTTCCCAAGACAAAAAGTGGGCAAGTTTCCTGATTTACATGAACATGTACTCAGCTTCTGCCTCTTACCTGGAGCTCCTTTGGGTCTGACTGCGCCCAGAAGGGGGCCATGGTGCACTTGATCTTCCCCTCAGGGTCCATTTCAATGTCCCACCAGGACAGAACCACCTGAGCTCGGCCAGACGCCAGAGGTTCAAACTGCCTGCTATAACAGGCTGCTGAGCTACTGACTTGCTTGCTGAAGTCCACACTATGGAAGAATGTTCAGGAACTTAAACATATTTTAAGCTTGCACACTCCATTTTTAAGCTTTTATGGTGACCTCGTCAGCTTGTTTGCAATGGACTCTTGCCTTCAGAGGCAGATGACATCAGCTAGGTTTCCTTCCCACTCAAAAATAACTTCCAAAGACCCCAATCCCACCAAATGTCTCAAACCGCCGTCACCCTGAGTGGCTTCTTGGTACCTGAACATAGGCAGCACGTCGCTGAGGACAGTGAAGTCAGTGGGCAACACCTGGTTCAACTGAATGTCATAAACAGAGGGTGCCCCAGGGCACCTCTCCAGTTCCAAGGGGGGGATGATGACCTGCTCTCCACGGCTGGTCTGAACACGGATGGGAAACAGCTTGTTCCACGACCACATCCTTCTGGACTCTACCAGCTGTGCGTAGACAGTTGCTCTATGAGGCACTGCTTCACAATTTTCCTAAGTTTATATTAAAAAAACAAAACAAAAGAACAAAAAAATAAACCAAGTACGTGGACCCACAGCAATGCCCATTGATCACAATATTCCTTAATATTAGGCCTGTTTCCCGGCCCCGTGACTTAGCGGTTAAGTGTGCGCGCTCCGCTACCGGCGGCCCGGGTTTGGATCCAGGCGCGCACCGAGGCACTGCTTGTCCGGCCATGCTGAGGTGGCGTCCCACACACAGCAACTAGAAGGATGTGCAACTATGACATACAACTATCTACTGGGGCTTTGAGGAGAAAAAGGGAAAAAAAAGGAGGAGGACTGGCATGGATGCTAGCTCAGGGCTGATATTCCTCACCAAAAAAAAAAAAGAGGCCTGCTTAGTAACATCTAACACCTTACCACTATTAGGATAGTGAACTGTTTTCAGCCTAATGCCCTTGGGAAAGAAAAAAAAAGGAACTAGATTTCAAAAGCAATACATGTTATGCCTAAAATGATTTACATCAGGTAAGTTCCTAGCTACGTGACACTCTTAAATACTTCAAAAATAAACCTTAATTGTCATCACGGTGATTAACTCCCACAGTGACTTTGAAGAAAGAGTCCAAGTCTTCCTGCTAAGCAGTAATTCTGGCACTGGGCTCAGAGCTTCCCTTCAACGCAGCTCTCACCCAGACACCAGAACCTTCTTATTGCACAGTCCAGTGGACAAGGGTCCACCCTCCACTGTCCTGACTTCCTGGCCTCACCAGGCACTGTCAACCACTCTCCTCACTTGGCTTTGGCTATAGTCCCTCATCTAATTTCCCTCCTACCTCATTCATTCATCCAATACCCTCTACATGCCAGGCACTAGAGGTCCAGCTGTCATGAGGATATTCAAAGCTGCTACCATATGGAAATGACAAACACAGGGTTTCTCTACCTCAGCACCAGTGATCTCTTGGGCCAGATGATCCTGTGTTGTAGGGGCTGTTCTGTGCAGCGTAGTATGTTTTGCAACATCCCTGGTCCCTAACCATAAGATGACAGCAGCACCCCCCTCTCAGTTCTAACACCAAAAATGTCTCTAGATATGGCTTTGGATGAGAAGCTCCGCTCTCCGCGTCTCCTTCACAAGGCTGTGCTTCCCCTGCCCATCCCTCACAGACGGGACTCCCCAGAGATCTGGTCTGGATCACTTTTTTCTCCCTCCACATACTCTCCCCTGAGTGACCTCAACCACTCCACCTTCATTTACCAAATACTACGTATCCAAATGCCTCTTGGTCCTTTCACCTTGGCTGACCCTCAGACAGCTTGAACTCGCTCTGTCTAAAGTGAACAATCACCTTCACCTCTCCCCTACCTTCCTGGACCCGGTCCTCCTCTCGTACTCCCATTCAACAGGGAGTACCACCATCCAATCCAGTCACCCAAGCCCCAAACCCTGGCATCATCCTCAATGCCTCAACATCTAAGTAATCACCAAGTCTGTGACCACCTTCCTCCTCCCCAAGTCTACCTCTCCAGGCCCATTTCTACGGCCCTGGCTGAGGCCCACCTTGGGCCAGCACCTGGATGACTCCAACTACCTCCTAACCAGTCTTCCTGCCTCCGATCTTGTACCCTAACTGCTCTCCACATGTCTGCCTGTGATGTCAATGCCCTGCTTAAAACCATTCTGCGCCATACTTACTTATGGAGCACTGTGGCCCTCCTCAGTGTAGCCCTGCTGAGCCCTCCAGCCTTACCTCTAACCTCACTTCCCACACTACCAATAATCCGAACAACTGCAGGGTCTGGGAGCCACCGCACCAACTCATCTTCATGTCTTTGTGCATGCTGATCTCCTCTGCCACGAATACCCTCGTCTGCCCAGCCAACACCCGATCACTCTTCAAGACTGACTTAGGGCCAGCCCCGTGGCTTTGCGGTTAAGTGCGCGCGCTCCGTTGCTGGCGGCCCGGGTTCGGATCCCAGGCGTGCACCGACGCACCGCTTCTCAGGCCATGCTGAGGCCGCGTCCCACATACAGCAACTAGAAGGATGTGCAACTATGACATACAACTATCTACTGGAGCTTTGGGGGAAAAATAAATAAATAAAATTATTTAAAAAAAAAAAAGAAGACTGACTCAGCTCAAGCTTCATCTTCCTTGACCCCTCTACCTTCCCGTCACTGGAGTGGGCATGATCTCATGCACTGACCACCATCAGAGGTACCTCAAACTGTACCGTGATGACCTGCTCACCTACCTGCCTTTGCAGGAGCTCACGTTCATATTCTTGGTACCAAATGAAGGCACTCAGTAAATGTGTCTTCTGAGATCAATTCCTGGGTCACTTTAACACACATGGAGTATTTGTCAGACACTCCAGCATCCTGGTTCCATGACAGCCAATAAGTCAGGAGGAGGGACAGGGCTTACACAACGAAGCCTTTGTATACAGCCATAACCCCCTTCAAGCTCAGGCACAGAGTGGGCAGATGGGGACAGTGATTAGAGTGGACAATGGACACCTGGCTGCTATAGGCCAGCTGGGAGAGGTAACTGAGGACAGCTGCCTGCGCACCTTTTTAATTATTAGATGAATTAGAGAAAGACAAATTGGGCAACATTAATATAATTCTAAATATCCTTGGTTCTGTTTCAGGGATTCATCTAACTGATAGTTTTATATAATTTTTTTATTTTTTTCCCCCAAAGCCCCAGTAGATAGCTGTATGTCATAGCTGCACGTCCTGCTAGTTGCTGTATGTGGGACGCGGCCTCAGCATGGCCAGAGAAGCGGTGCGTCGGTGCGCGCCCGGGATCCAAACCCGGGCCGCCAGCAGCGGAGCGCGTGCACTTAACCGCTAAGCCATGGGGCCAGCCCAATCTAACTGATAGTTTTAATGTGGAGAAATAAAAATAATTACTCCCAAAGTTACCAGTGAAGGATTTTACACTTTGGAGACAATGAGACATCTCACACAGTGTGGGGATCTGCAGGACAATCACCATCACATGCTGACCGTGTGAGTAATGTGCACTCTGGCCCCAACAGCCCTGGAAGGAGCCACCTTTCTCACTCTGGGGGCACCAAGAACCCTCAAAAGAGGGTCCCAAGCTGGAACAGTGCAGGCTCACCTGGACGGTTCCCACAAGGCAGGTGCCAGCAGAAGAAGCAGACATCACACCTCCCCAGCTGGCCTTTGCCTCTGGGTCTCCACCCCCAGTTTACATCCATAAAAAACAAGACCAATGTCTCTGAGATAACGTTTTCAGCATGTCTCTCCCTCCTCAAAAAAACTGTCAAAGATTATCACCACCCAAACTCCTTCACCTGGAACAGCCTGGCATTCCAGGCCTTCCATCCTCTACCCAGTTCTCTGCCATTAACTCACAAGCTCCCCCAGCCTGGTGTTCTCACTGACCTACCAAACAGGTCCTCTACCTGGGATACCTCTCCCACTCCTCAGTACCTTTCCAAATTCCACCCTCTCCACACATGCCATCATGCTCACATGCCCTCATCTCCTTCCCGACCCTTGACCTCCTCTGCAAGTCCTAAACCAAATGTTAGTGATGCTTCTGTCTGCCTCTCCATTTGGCCCATCCAGTCCTTACCGTTGCTGACTAGTGTAGGTCTCAGAAGCAATAAGGATGTTTCATACTTCTCCCTGGATGCTAGAACACCTTATACACATGTGACATTCAAAGAATGTTTGCTGAATTGAACTGAATTTGAAAACAGCTTCATGTCTTTCGACTCTACCCTACCAAGACTGGACATTCAAGAGGCACAGAAGTCGTCATTGAGGAGAATCAGAATGTCGCAGGAATCAAGGGTTCTCCTAGGGTATATGGAGAAATACTAAGGGGTCAGGCTGTGTAGGGCATGGTCAATCAGTGAGAGCTGTGTGAGCCGGCTGCGATCACAGCAATATGCCTGAGAGAGGCCCCTGGTCCCCTACCTGCACGAGATGACTGTGTGCATGCTCATAGGAGGGCAGTGCTCCCTCCCCAATCAGTTCTGTGTCAAACAACTCCGTGATCAGGATGTTGGCACGGCATGGCATGTCACCATCTGAAAAACACAAGGAAACAGAGTCAGAAACAAGCAACAGATCAGAAAAAACATTTACAGCAAACATGTGAAAGATAAAAGGTTAACAGGTCATTAAATTGAGAGCATGTACACATGCTGAAGTATTCAGAAGCGCCATGATATCTGCAACCATTTCCAATGGTTCAGCAAAAAAACCCATTTTGATATACATGTATACTCAAAACGCTAACAACTGGTAAGTCTTGGTTAAAAGAATATGGGTGTTCATTGTACTACTCTTTCAGTTTTTCTGTAGGTCTAACATTGCAAGGGACTTATAAAACTGAAAAGAAAAACTATAAACACCCAAAAAGAAAACCAGGCAACAATACAAATAGACAATGCAAAGCAGAAAACAAATTAAATATATGGAAAATTTTTCCTTCTTATTAGCCACTGGTGAGATATAAACTGACAATTAAACTATTAACTATTAAATTAGCAAAAATTATTTGAAAAGCAAAAACTGAATGCTAGTACTTCAAATGTTTCTAGGTGGCAGAAAGGGAGAGAAAACCAAAGCAAGAGAGATAGGCTGTCTGATTCCTCTGATATCCAATGATACCACTGAGATCCAGGACTCAGAATTCCCAGTTCCTTACACTAAATCCCCCTTAATTAAGTTAGTTTCTTGCTACCAAAGAATCCCCCAAATAACAGGTGTTTTAGGATAGAAGGAGTACAGAGGGTCTTTGTGTTAACTCTATTTTCTAAATCTTTGTAATATAATCTAATGTTACATCTACAATTATAATTTTTAAGGAGCCAAGAGACAAAATTGACTTTGGAAGGGGCTATTCATCATGGAGAATTAACTGTAAACACTCCTAATGGCTCATGAATTACAATTTGACAAAGCCCACTCATCTTCCTTACACAGAAGACAAGGAACACGGATGATGCAAGAAAAGAGAAGCATTACAGAGTTCAAAGAAGGGTGCAGTAGAGAGAGCTTAAACCTTGAGGCATAGAGACCTGGGCCTGGATCTCACTTTCTAGCCTTGAACTTTCAGTTCTGACCATCAATAACCTCATCTGTAAGACAAGGATAACAAGATCTGCTCCATGCAGTGGTGGTTAGGATAGCAAAGATAAAAACTGCCCACTTCCAATGAAGTACACTTGTGCTCAATGGCAGCATGACATGAAAGGAGGCTGAGAAGAAACTTCTGTCTCCTGGCACAGAGACCACCCTCCCGAGTGACAGTGCCCATCCTCTCCGATATGATGCCAAATTCCAACTGAAATACGCTGTCTCAAACTGAGCCAGCCCCGCCCCACCCACACACCTGCTTCTCCCTCTGATGTTTCTGCCTCAGTGAACGGCACCATCAGTCAGACAGTCCTGAAACCTGAGCATCATTTACTAGCTCCAGAAGAGCAGGGACCCTGACTGGTCTGCTCACCATTGTACCCTGGTGCCCAGAACAATGCCTAGCACCCAGTAATAGTCAGCAAACCTTAGGTGAATTTTTTTTTTTTTATAATTTTATTTATTTATTTTTCCCCCAAAGCCCCAGTAGATAGTTGTATGTCATAGCTGCACATCCTTCTAGTTGCTGTATGTGGGACGGGGCCTCAGCATGGCCAGAGAAGCAGTGGGTCGGTGCACGCCTGGGATCCGAACCCGGGCCGCCAGCAACGGAGCGCGCGCACTTAACCGCTAAGTCACGGGGCCGGCCCTAGGTGAATTCTTGATTCCTCCCTCTCTGTCATCCTACATCCAATCAATCACCAAGCCCTGCCAATTCTACCTCCTGAATAATTTTTAAGCCAGTTATTTAACTTAAAATGATTTATTGTCCAAACCTGCTTCAAATAAATAAAGCTTTATGATCCAGTGAATTTCAGTAAATACTCTGAGAGTCTGGTATCTAGCATGTAAGCACTAACAGAGAAGGGAGCAGAGGGTGCAGTGGGAGCCTGAGAAGGGGCGGTTACCCCACGTGCCTCTTAAGTCTTCACCAAATGACTCGATGGATGAACAAATGCTGCTCCCTGAGTCAGATGCTACACATGCCTCAGTGTGTAATCCATCTCTGGGGAATAGAAAACAAACTTAGATGTCATTTTTAAAAGAGCTGAGAACAGAACCTTGGAAATATGCATTCGGGAGCAAAAAGAAAGCTGCAAAGGAGAACCAAGGCTGGGAGATGTCACTGAGGCCTGGCAAGAGAGAGCTTCCAGAAGGACTGAAAGGCAAAAGTACCAAAGCTGCAGCATTTGAGAGGAAAAGCAGAGGAAAGACCACCAGCCTCAGCACTGAGGAAGCGCTTGTCAAGTTGGGGAGTGGAAACCAAGTCCCATTTACAAGGGTTAAGGACCAAGCAAAGTTGACAATCTGCTCACTAAACCAATATCACTGAATTCTTTTACGTGCCAGGCCCTGTGCAAGTTATGGAATGGAATAGCTAATAAGACCACACAGTCCATGACCTCAGGATGCTTCAGCTGTGTGGGGATATAGACAATAAATACATAATTACATAATTATTTAATTATTGTAATGATAAACACTACAAAGGAAAAGTATTAAGAAAGCATAGGAGGGGCCTGGCCTAATGCACACAGCCTGGAGGAGGGCACAGGGCAGAGAGTCACAGAGACAGTGACATGGCAAAGGTTGCTCTGCAGGTTGTTTCTGTGCTGTCAAGATCTCTACCTCTGGCCAAAACAGAGAAACTGGGCTCAAACTTATCCATCCACTGTAATCAACTAGAAAACCAGACAAAATATATGAAACAAGTGTTTTTAGATGTTGAACAAGAGGCAACACAGTTTGTTCACCAAGAAGGGAAACAAATAAAGTGACCCCTACTACTGCTCTTTTGGTCAGCAGGCACCTTCCAGACCATAGTACAGGGACTAAGAAGTCAAAAAGAGCACAGCAATCCTGCTGAGGTGAGGAGATAGCAACTGGAGTTTAGGGGAGTAGAGGCGGCTGGGACTTGCAGGGGAGGGAACAAGAGAGGAAGTTACACAGAGAAAGGGCTTCAGAAATCTGCACGGGGCTCTCCTTAAGTCTCTTGTTAGATATATTCACACACACATAGGGTAAGACTCTAGAAGGCCAGGCAAACGATAACCATGTAGCTATAAGCTGAACAAGTTCCAGAGCTCACAGAGGACTGGGAAACATTCTATTTCTGATCAGCCAGCACCCAGGCACTTAGCAGAGACCACAGAAAGGTCATGCCATACTAGTATGGCTAAAGCAGCCTCAGAGCAGTGGTTCTCAACAGGGATCGATTTTGCCCCCACCCCAAGCCTGCCACTCAGGACATTTGGCAATGTCTGGAGATATTTTTGGTTGGCACAAATGGTGGGGAGGAAGGAGGTGCTACTGGCTTCTAACGGGTAGAGGCCAGGGGTAAACATCCTACAGCGCACAGGACAGCTCCTCGCAACAAAGAGTTATCAGGCCCAAAATGTCAACAGTGCTGCTATTGAGAACCCCTGACTTAAAGCTCCTCTAACCCTGCTCCAACAAAGCTTAAAAATGAGCCTTGAAAGGATCAAATTGATCTGCAAGTAACCCAACTGCACGCCAGACAAAGCTTTTAAAGCAAGACAACAAACTCCAGCACTCAGCAATGCAAAATTCCCAATCTACACAGGATCCAAAGAAAAATTACTAGACGTGTGAAGAAGGAAAATTTGACCCAGAACCAGGATAAAAATACGTCAACAGAACAAACACAGAAAAGACAGACACAGTGGAAACAGAAGATAAGGATATTAAAACAGTTAATATAAATATGTTAAGTAAAGGAACACATGAACATAACGAGGAAAAAAATGGAATGCATTTTTAGAGACGCAAAATACAATACCAGAAATGAAAAGTTCACTAGATGTGCAGGCCAGCAGATTAGACACCATAAAAGAAAAGATTAGTGAACCTAAAGACCTATCCAAGAAACTATCCATGCCCATCAATAGGTGAAGGGATAAATAAATTATGGGATATACATACTTGGAGTGCTGCTCAGCAATGGAAGAGAACGAACTTTTTTTTTTTGCAGGGAAAGATTCGTCCTGAGCTAACATCAGTTGCCAATCTTCCTCTTTTTTCTTTTCTCTCCCCAAAGCCCTAGTACATGGTTGTATATTCTAGTTCTAAGTCCTTCTAGTTTGTCTATGTGAGCCGCCGCCACAGCATGGCTACTGACAGACGAGTGGTGTGATTCCACAACCAGGAACCGAACTACGGCCGCCGAAGCAGAGAGCGCTGAACTTTAACCACTAGGCCATCAAGGCTGGCTCGAGAATGAACTCTTAATACACAGGACAACATGGACGAATCTCAAAAGCACTATGCTATGGCAAAGAAAGCAGGCATCAAAGAGTACACACTGTATGACTCCACTCACTCAAAATTCTTGAAAAGGCAAATCTAATCTATATTGAAGAAAGCAGATTAGTGGATGCTTAAGGCCAGGGATATGGGGGTACCGACTGTAAAGGGTCATGAAGAATTTATCAGGGCATGATGGAGATATTCTATTATCTTGATTGTGGTAGTGGTTACAATTGTTTAGATTTGTCAAAACTCATCAAGCTATACACTTAAAATGGGTGCATTCATTTTATGTAAATTATACCTCAATAATGTTGATTAAAAATGGGATAATCATTTGTGTACTTTTTTGTATGTACGTTATGCTTTAAAAATAAAGGGGACACGAATTCCTTCTTTTGTGCATGTTTCAGATTCTCCATAAAAAAATATACTTTTTTAAATGGGAGAAAAATGTTGATCTTAGATAGATGCTTCATCCTAAAATACTGCATTTTCGGGGCCAGTCCAGTGGCACAAGCAGTTAAGTGCGTGTGCTCCCCTGCGGCGGCCTGGGGTTCACTGGTTCGGATCCCAGGCGTGCACCGATGCACCGCTTGTTAAGCCATGCTGTGGCGGTGTCCCATATAAAGTAGAGGAAGATGGGCACGAATGTTAGCCCAGGGCCAGTCTTCCTCAGCAAAAAAAAGAGGAGAACTGGCATTGGACGTTAGCTCAGGGCTGGTCCTCCTCACAAAAAATAAATAAAATAAAATACTGCATTTTTTAAAACTGTGGTGATATCCATAGTCTCACCCCAGAAGCTTCTTTTATGGATCTTTCCACTGCTCTCCACTGTGTATCAGTAGCATGTGAAATCTTAGAAGTCCAATTCAAACTCATAGACTATAAAAAATATCCTGGAAACCTGGAGAGATTGTACTATACAGGCAATCTCTCATTGGATGCTGAAGCAGGATGTCAGAACTAAGCAAACCTCTTTCTGCTATCTACTTAGTTTCACTTCTGTCTGATAAAACACGAAACTCACAGAGCTGAGCTACACAAGAATTCCAACTTGCTTAAAGCAAAAGGAGGTTTTGTTCGTGTCACCATTGTTGCTCTTGATTAGCTCTGGTTTCCTCATTGCTGATTTGTTTTACCTAGTAAGAAATAAACTAGTAGAGAAGCAAAGTGCTTATCGTCAGACCACCACAGACGAGGCCCCATTTCTTTGCGATTACCTGGATACATTCATTCAAGGTAATTAGAATAAAACTTTTCCCCTTGTCTTGACATGAGTTCAGCCATGTTTGGCCGCTCCACTGACCTACAGCCATCAGCACAAAAAGAAATACAAAGCTGCTTTCTGTGTGGTGGGAACCGGCCTTTTCCCGGGAACTGGCCTTTCTCCCACGGAGAGAGTTGCAAGTTGTAACATTTCAAGGCTCTTGGAGCGTCGTGGCCCGGAATGGACTGGCCATCTGTGCCGGGCTGAGGCGATAACCAAAGAGAACAATGCATGTACACAACTACTGGGCTGGGACGTTAGCCAGGGGGCTCAGTGCACGTACGCCACTGATAACCATTTTGTGCATGGAAACACTAAATGCTTGCTCTGCAAACTTTGTAATTGCTTACTCTGAAAATTACTGATGGTATAAAAACTGCTGGAAACTGAGCCCTGGTGAGAGTTCCACCTGTGGAAGGGACACCTTGCCCAGGACGTGTGATCCTTGCCCAGCCGCGTCGATTGACAGGGCTCTCCCGGCAGTGGGGCATGGATGTTGTGAGTAACTGATTTGATGTGAAGTAATTGATTTGATATGAAGTAACTGATTTGATGTGTTCTCTTTTCGGTCAACCTGGTGTTTCTCTTTCCGGTTGATTTGTGTCATTTCTCTTCAGCCGATGTGGGTGTTTTCCCTTTCCAGTCGGGCTGATGTTTTTTCCCTCTTAATATTTGACCTATATGGATCTGTTTGCAGACTGTCGCCTTTACTATCCTCTATATAATAAAATATACCTTCAGTCCATTTGTTTGGAGTGGAAAGTTTCTTTTCCATCTCCAATCGAATCCCCGAACCTCTCATAACACCCCTTCTCCTACAAAAGCACGTAAAGCTTTCGACACAGGGTGTATTGATCTTACCTGGCCCTACGGTCACCTCAGTGGAATGCTTGTTGATAACCTTAATCTTATCACTGAAGCCATTTTTCTCCACAATCTTCACAGCAGCATCAGCCATAGGCTTGAAAACCTAGAAATTAGAGCAAAAACTCAAGTAAAAATGAGCAACAAATTAAATAACAACCTACCACCAAAGATTAGCAAGATATGTCTTGATTCTGGTCCTAAGATTTGAAGTAAAAGAGGCCTCCATGACAGAATTTCCTCATAAATATACAAAATGTACCTTTGTTACAGGCAAAATATTTCTTTGGGCTGATTTGATCTATAAACAAGACTTCATCTATGTAACCTAAATACTTTATTCTCCAAATGTGTGTCATGAAAATGAATACAAAGGGATGAGATTCCACTGGGTTTAACTTGCAGCTAGGAGTTCTCATTACAGTGGGGATGCAAGGGGTACCAAGGAGGTTGCACTACCTAGTTAGGACGGCAGATGTCAGTGTCACGCTAGAGGGAGCCAGGAAGGGGACTTGCCTCACAAAACCATTATCTGTGATCTGGGACATGCATGATGTGTGCTGTGCTCTCTAGAGGAAAGTGAGATTGTTACTGTATTAGATGTTAAGTGTGAGCCAGTCACCCTCTTGCTCAAAAGTTCCCCAAATCCCCACTGCTGGCAGAACACAGCCTATATTTTCCTATGGTATTTGAGGACCTCCATAATATGGACCACCTTACTTCCCCCAGCCTTACTTGCCTCCCACAAGGATACTCCAGCCACAGTGATCTCCTCATTGTGCACTAGACAAGCCTGAGCCTTCCCTGCCCTACCCCCAACTTGCCAAAGCAAACCCAACTTTCCAGGGCAGCACAAATCCTCCCTCTCCAGAACTCCTCCCTGAACCCTTCACATGTCCCTAAACAAGCCTTCAACTCTTACTTTCCTGCCTGCCCAAATTTAGAGTGCACAGCTCCAACCACAATAGTGCATAAAACATACAGACACACATGTGACCACAAACAGAGTGGAAATACAACAAAATAATAAAGTGACTGGTCACAATGACAAGATTTCCATTTTTTCTAAGTCCTTTTCTGCATTTTCCATATTTTCTACCATGAACACATATTTCTTTTATTATAATCAAGCGGGAAATACTATATTCTGTAAAGAGCATATATGTGCTCAGCTAGAAAAAAAAATCTTCACTATCTGTTTCAAATTATTTCTAGGATCTGGCTTGATGTTTTTAGATGTGGTTTGAGGGCCTCAAACCCTCAGTTCTCACCCATCACTTTGTCTCCAGCCCAGAAGTATCACAAGCTCATACCATTCCCTCAGCCCTCCTGCCTCTTGACATATCACTCATCTCCTCTACTGACCCTTCAGGCTCTGACATTCACAGCCTCCTCCCCAGCCACCAAGAACTCAAGATCTCACCCAAAACACTGTCTGAAGTGGACCCTGAAGTTGACTTCCCAATATTATTCGTGTCTTCCCCTACCCCTCAAATCAGTTTGGGGAACTGACCTTTCGAGTGGTCTAAGGGTAACTGAATCTTTCTTGCCGGGTCAATGAGGCAAGTTAAAAGGGATTTAACCTTATTCTGGCCAATAATATCCAAGGAGAGGTTTGCTAGAGATTCCTGGGAAAAGTTCTTCTTGCTCTTAAAAAGGAGAAAGAAAGTGAGGAAGCCAGGACCATGCTTTGTTTTCAAGGCATTTTTGCAGAAGTCACTGCAACTGATACATCTTCCCCAAATATTCCTTCCTTTTCAAATGGACTAAAAGAGAAGTCTACAGTCAGTTTCTGTAATTGCTTGTATTCCATCCACTCCTCAACCCTACTCTCTCCTGAAAATATCACCTGAAGGAGGTCACCAATGACCTCCTAGCTGCCAACCCAACAGCTTTCTCTTAGTCCTCATGCTGCTCAACTTCTACACCTGTGCTGTCTAATAGAGTAGCCACATGTAGCTCTCTCAGTGGAAATTGATTAAAATTGAATAAATTAAAAATATTCAGTTCCTCAGTCATACTGGTCACATTTCAAGTGTTCGGCAGCCACACGTAGCTAGGGACCACCACACTGGCCAGCAGAGCTATAGAAGATTTTCTAATCACAGGAAGTTCTATTGGACAGTGCTGCTCTACAACATCCATACCTGCTGACCACTCCCTCTTTCTCACAATTTCCATGCTATCTGCCCCGGCTTGGCTTCCACCTCTGCCCTCTAGGGTCTCTTCATGTCTATCTGCACTTGACTTTACTGGCCACTCTTCTTCCCTCAGCCCCCTGAACACAGGCATGTTCCAAGGTTTGCTCTTCTCACTCTACTCTCTTTCCTTGGATAATCTCCTACACTGCCAGCTTCACCTGTCACATCTTTAGCAAGTGAGTTCCAAATCCACTTGTATTCGCCACTCTCTAAAGGTTCAGACTTCTATCTCTAGGCGCCAGCAGGTCCTCTCTCACTCATTCTTCTGGACCTGTCTTTCCTGTCGCCACATAGCTCAGGTAGAGCTGAAAACCATAAGGGCAGTCCATAGACAGACTAGAGGTTCAAACAGGTGGTCATTAAAGCAAAAACAAGGCCATCATAAGCCGTCAAGAGCCAAACAGAGGTGTGTCAGAGCCATAGGCCAGAGCAGCAACAGAGAATTAAAAATCTAGGTAAGTAAGATGGGAATATGGAAAAACCGAATAGCACAGTCCTAGCAATTCCATCAAAAACACATGTTCTCACCATATATTTTTAATTATGGTCCACACATATAGCAGCTCTTGCCCCAGAACCTGCCTCTCCCAAACTTAACACATCCAATGTACTCTCTTTCCCACAAAGTAAGCATCTTCCTCTGAGTTCCTCTTACCAGTCAATGGCCTCGCTGCCCCCTCAGAAACCCTCACTAGAAAACTCTTTCTCACACACACACACACACACACACACACACACACACACACACACCCTCCCATCAAAGCTACCACCATGGAGTGAGCAACATAATTAGGAACCAAAAGACCAAGGTTCTCCTACTTATTAACTGTGGGACATAAGTAAAGTAAGGATACTTTGTAAAGTAAGGATAATAAAAATCTACATGAAGCTATCAAGGTAACCATCCTAAAATACAGATTTCTTTACATCAGCTCAAAAACCTTGAGAACTCCCCAAAAGGCAAAGAAATGATTCTTAATCCTTTTTATAAAATCCTGAGGCAAGTATACAGAGTCACATACACTCACACACACACACACAGATGTATATATAAGTCTCAGGACATTCATGGAGACCTGAAGCCCATTATTCTTATCTCAGGTTAGGAAAACCTAACTCAAGATATTAGAGTTAAAAGTCTTTACTGTGGCACTCAGGTCCTCCATAGTCTATCTACCTTTCTGGGTTTTTCTACCATGACACTCTTTGCCATAACTCTGGATAACACTGTTCCCCAAACACACCACAGTATTCCCTCAGCCTAAAATGCCCACCTTTCCAAATTGTAAGCATGAGGGCCACACTGTAGGGATGGCAGGGTGGGGAGTTGGAAGCAGGCTTGAACACCCTGGAGTGCTGACCTCCAGACTTTATGTGAGAGAGCAAAAAACTTCTACCTTATTTAAGCCACTGTTATTTCAGGACTTTGTTATTTGTAACTCAATCACCATATGAATCAAATTTTGTAGGGTTAAGTGTTTAAATACAAGCCCCCTTCGCCAAAAGCTTGGAGAAATATACACCAAAATTTTAACAGTGGTTAACACACTATTTTTATTTTACATTTACCAAATTTCCTATAATTATATGTATTATTTACATTATCAGAAAAACAACATATGTTTAATGTTTTATTAAAATAAAAAAATGACAGACTGCCAAACTATTGGTAAATGTAAAAAGATAGCTGGCTCTGTAGGGACATTTAAGGTAGTAGATCTCAACCTTGCTATACATTCAAAAATCCTAATGCCCAGGCCACCATCCCAGAATAATTACATCAAAATGGGGGGGGGGGGGGGTGTTCAGCATCAGTATTTTTTAAAGCTCCTCAGTGATTCTGACATGCAGCCAAAGATGAGAACCACTGTTTTCAGAGGAGAAAACAAGCTCCTGGAGGAAGGAACTGTGTCTGACTCAGCTGTATATCCTCAAAACATGGCCCTGTGCTTGGCACAGAGTACTCAATGAATGTTTGTGAACAAATGGATAGGCAAGGTGCAAAGGACAGAAGGGACTTCCCACACAAAACACAGGACACACACCTGAAGAGTGTAGCTCACCTCAATGGCATAGCAAAAGTCGGCGCCTGCCGTGACCGCCATCATTGACAAGAGTCCAGTGCCAGTGCCAATGTCAAGAACCAAGGCCTTCTGTCCTCTGTCCTTCACCCTGCTCACAGCAGCCCGGATACCCTGGTAATATTTTATATTCTAAGAGGAAGGGAGAAGCAGCTGTTATTTCACGCCAGTTATGATAAATAAGTAGAAAGGTACTTTGTGAAGTTCTTGAGTCACGGTTGGCAGCAACAGTGTAAGTCATGACCCTGTGGCCTTTCCAGCCCCTTGAGGAACAGCACTGGCTAGCTGAGTCGGGCAGGCCTTGTGAGACTCCAAGAACACTGATTCAGCCTTTTGCCCTTACTAAGCAATTGTCTCTCCCCTCCACACCCACTCTTCTATACTCAGCTTAGAGTTGCTGGGACTGGAGCTCTGCAAACGACATTCTCCTTTTTCCAGCTGTTAGGTATAGACAATGGGGAAACTAGAGAGCGACTGGAAGGTAGAAGGGAGAAAGTTTGTTCCCTTCTGTATGGCTGCTGCTCTCATCAGTGTCCTCCAAGGAGTAGCAGCTGGTTCTGGATTCCAGCTTCTCACAGGACTCCCCTAACCAGCCTCTGGCCCCACAGAGGTAGCAGCAGCATTTGAGCAGCGATCCCTCTCAGAGATCTTTCCTCCACGCTTCTAGGTTCTGGAAACCCAATATTCTCCCTTTGTTTCCTCAGTCCTAGTCAAGGTAACTGCTTCCTGCAATTACCACCACTAGGTTACCTCAGTGCTTCCATTTGCCTCCCAGTGCTCCCACACCCGTGTAACCAATTCCCTCTGTTAAATTCCCTTTTTGAAATACGTAATGTGGCTTTTGGTTTCCTTATGGACTCTACTTCATACAATCTTTGTCTAAAATATATTTTACCCCTCAGGAAATAATTTATTTGCATTGTGAAGGTTTTTAGCTCAGGTCTTTTGTAACTTAAACAGATATATCTTCCATCTGTACCAGTATGGCTGAATAAGTACCTTGATTCTCTGCTGAAAATAAATAAAAGTGATGGAAAAACTTTTTTTTTTTTTTTTGGTGAGAAAGATCAGCCCTGAGCTAACTAACATTTGTTGCCAATCTTCCTCTTTTTGCTTGAGGAAGATTGTCCCTGAGCTAACATCCAGCCAATCTTCCTCTGTTTTGTATATGGGACACTGCCACAGCATGGCTTTATCAGCGGAACATAGGTCCACGCCCGGGGTTCTGAACTCACGAACCCTGGGCCCCCGAAGTGGAGCGTGCAAACTTAACCTCTACGCCACCAGGCTGGCCCGGAAAAAACATTTGAAAATCTTTTTAAATGCACTGATGACCCAGCAAGTTAGTAAGGAATATTAAGAGGCCATACACCTGGAAATGCTTCCACTCCCAGCCGAGCCTTAAGATGACTGCTCTACCAGCCGACACCATGATCACAGTGTCTGAGAGACCCAGAGCCAGGGATCCAGCTAAGCTGAGCCCAGATTTCAGACCCACAGAAACTCTGAAATAATAAATGTTTTAAGCCATTAATTTTGGGGATAATCTGTTACGCAACAGAAGATAACTAATACAGGACTGGTTTATATTCTCTGACCACAGTGCAATCAAGTTAGAAATCTCAATAACAAAAATATAACTAAAAAAAAAAAGAAATTTTTGAACATTAAGAAATTCTAAACTCACAGGTAAAAGACTATATCAAAGGGGAATTAGAAAATATCCAGAACTGAATAATTTTTTTTAAATTACATATCAAAACTCATGGGATAGCTAAAGCAATATTTGGAGAGAGGGGCCGGCCCAGTGGCACAAGCGGTTAAGTGCACGTGCTCTGCTTCGGTGGCCCAGGGTTCACAGGTTTGCATCCGGGGTGCGCACCAACGCACCACTTGTCAAGCCATGCTGTGGCGGCGTCCCATATAAAGTGGAGGAAGATTGGCACGGGTGTTAGCTCAGGGCCAATCTTCCTCAGCAAAAAAAGAGGAGGAGTGGCATCAGATGTTAGCTCAGGACTGATCTTCCTCACACACACACAGTGCCAAAAAATATTTGGAGAGAAATGTATTAGAAAAGACAAAAGATAAGGTAAGTATCCACCTCAAAAAATTAGAAAGAGAACTGTAGTATAAATTCCAAATAAGTGGACAAAATTAATGAATTAGGAAACAAATTTAAAATAGAGAAGATTGACAATGATAAAAGTTACTTATTTCAAAAGACTAATAAAATCAAAGAACCTCTGGTAAGACTAGTTCAAAAAACAAAAGGTAGAGGGAGAGAAAGTTACAGGGGCTGGCTCCGTGGCGTAGTGGTGAAGAGTGTGTGCTCCGCTGCTGGCGACCCGGGTTCGGATCCCGGGCGCACATCGACACACTGCTTCTCAAGCCATGCTGTGGCAGCGTCCCACATAAAGTGGAGGAAGATGGGCACGGATGTTAGCTCAGGGCCAGTCTTCCTCAGCAAAAAGAGGAGGATTGGCATGGATGTTAGCTCAGGGCTGATCTTCCTCACAAAAAAAAAAAAAAAAGTACAAGTAACAGTGGGGACGAAGGGGATAAAGGAGGCAGGAGTATCAGTACATATACTACAGATATCAGAGAGATTCAAGGATATTATGAACAACTTTTAGCAAATAAATTTTAAAAATTCAGACTAAGTGGACAACATTGTACTGCAGGTTCTAACCAACACACTAGAGCAAGAAACGATGCATTAAGGTCTAGAAAGAAAGAAAGAAAACTGTCATCATTCACAGATGAGACGAATGTCTCTGAAGAAAACCCAAAATACCTGCAGATAATTATAAAGTAACAGAATTTAGAAAGACTACAGGATTCCAAATCAATCAATAAATACCAATTGGAATTTATACATCAGCAACAGCCTTTAAAACCTTGGCAAAGGGTGGGCCGGCCCCGTGGCTTAGTGGTTAAGCGAGCGGGCTCCACTGCTGGCGACCCGGGTTCGGATCCCGGGCTC